GCAGGGGACACAGGTTCGAGCCCTGGTCCGGGAAGATCCCACATGCTGCGGAGCAACTAAGCCCGTGCGCCGCAACTACCGAGGCTGCGCTCTAGAGCCCACGAGCCACAACTGCGGAGCCTGCCTGCCACAACTACTGAAGCCCACGCGCCTAGAGCCCATGGTCCACAACAAGAGAAGCCACCGCAATGAGAAGTCCGTGCACCGCAACAAAGAGTAGCCCCCGCTCGCTGCAACTAGGAGAAAGCCTGCGTGCAGCAACGAAGACCCAACACAGCCAAAAATAAATAAATAAATTTATTTAAAAAAAAGAAAAATTGTTCCTTTTTAAAATTCTTTCTTGCTGGCATTTATAAATATAGTTGACCTTTGTCCTGTGACCTTGCTGAATTCACATGAGTTCTGGTAGGTCCTCTGTAAATTCCTTAGGATGGTCTGTGTATTGAGTCATGTGTATGTGAGTAGGGACAGTTTTGCGTCTTCCTTCCTGGCCTTTATTCTGTGCATTCCTTTTTCCTGCCTGTGGTGCTGTCCAGGACCTGTGGTAGAAGGCTGAAGGTCCCTGCCCATGCCATCCTTGGGGAGCGCAGGATCGCACCGCCAGCTTGGTGCTTGGCTGCGGGGGCCCTTGCCTTCTGTGCTAGGGGCCTCCCAAGGGAAAGCAGGTGTGCTGGACAAGAGCTCCCCAGCGGTGAAGGCGCTCACCCTGAAGGCCCAGGTGGAGAGGCTCTGATGACCATGGGGGCAGTGACTCCAGGGGCCCTTGGGTCTGAGGGAGCCGGGGGCTGGGGGGGATGACACATGGAAGCCAGCACTGCTCAGCTGCTGTGGTGACTGTGAGCTTGGGAGGGTCTCGCAGGGAGGGGAGCCAGACCCCTGACGTGGGAGCACCGGCCACCAGTGGCTAGGGCCGGTGCGTGTGTTTGGAGGGGCCTGGGGTCTGTACAATGGAGAAAACTACCTGCTGTTGGGTGAGGCAGTCTCGCTGGATGACACAGGGACCCGGGCGGGCACAAGAGAGCCAGCTCTCCTTCCTCTCCAGGCCTGTGGTCTCCTTGTGCCCCTCCTGGCAGAGCCCCAGGCAGCAGCAGGCTTGTTGCTGAGAGACAGTAGCTCCACCACAACCCCATGCCCTTCATCAGGCGGGAGGGTGGCTCTTTCCATTTCTTTTTTCCTGGAAGTGTTTATGTGAATAGGAATTGAATTTCGTCGTGTGTGTTTTCTGCATCTGTTGAGGCGATCGTATGACTTTTTTTTTCTCTTTTATTCTCTTAATGAGGTAAATTACAGTGACTAGTTTGTTTTTGTCTTTGTTTTTGTTTTTGTTTTGGCCGTGCCACACGACACGTGGGATCTTAATTTCTCAACCCGGGATCGAACCCGTGCCCCCTGCAGTGTAAGCGCAGAGTCTTAACCACTGGACCGCCCGGGAAGTCCCTACAGTGACTAGTTTTAGAATGTTAAACAACTTTTCATTCCTGGGAGAAACTTACTTGAATAAGATGTATTGCTGACTTCAGTTTACTAATATTTCTAAAGGATTTTTGTGTCTGTGTTTGTGAGGGACACTGGTCTGTAGATTTCCTTCCTCATGATGACTTTATCTTTACAAGGCTTTGTCTGTCTCTAGTTTTGCTGTCAGGGTAACGTTGGCCTCATAAACCTGAAAAGGATTAGTGTTACTTCTCCAGTGATTCATAGAATTCACCAGCGAAGCTACCTGGGCTTGGAGTTTCTTTGTGGGAGGTATTTGATTAGGAAGTCAAGTTCTGTAATACCTATAGGGCTATTCAGATGTTTCTTCTGTCAGTTTTGGTAATTTGTGTCTTTCAGGGAATTTGTTCATTTCTCCCAAGTTGTTGAGTTTATTGACATGCCATTTTTCATAATATCCCTTAATTTCCTTTTATTCTCTGTAAGTTCTGTAGTGATGACTCTTCTTTCACAACTTTTCTCAAGATTGTATCAGGATCCAATCAGGGTTACACCTTGGGATTGGTGGATATATTTTTGTCTTTCAGTCCGCAGGTTCCCTCTCCATCTCTTTTTTTCCCTTGCAGTGTTTTTTTGTTTTTTGGGATCTTAGTTCCCCAACCAGGCATTGAACCCAGGCCCTTGGAAGTGAAAGCTCTGAGTGCTAACCACTGGCCTGGCCCACCAGGGAATTCCTTCAGTGTGTTTGTTGAAGAAGCCCCGTTGTTTGTCTTGGAATTAGTTAATTCTTCAAATAATAGTTCCCTTTCATTTCTGGTCGATACGTTGCTTTTCAGACTCCCTGATTTGAGCTGAGTTGATTTCCTAGACCCTGTAACACATTAAGTCCATTTAGCTCCCAATGGACGACATTGTTGGAACTTGAAGCAACGTAATACTTGTGTAATTCACAAGGACAGCATCATTGTAATGATGGCATTGTAAACTTCACAGCCTTTTTTTTTTTTTTTTTTTTTGCGGTACGTGGGCCTCTCACTGCTGTGGCCTCTTCCGTTGCAGAGCACAGGCTCCGGATGGGCAGGCCCAGCGACCATGGCTCACGGGCTCAGCCGCTCCGCGGCATGTGGGATCTTCCCGGACCGGGTCACGAACCCGTGTCCCCTGCATCGGCAGGCGGACTCTCAACCACTGCGCCACCAGGGAAGCCCCACAGCCTTTGTTTTGAAGTAACACCTCCCTTCACTCTTTCACATTTTGAGTTGGGTAACGAGGATGTTTTGTTTTTGTATTTGTACAGTAAAGAGTGTTTAAGAACAGTGTTGAGAGTAAAAAATAGAGCACTAATACTAGTTTTCTTTGTGTTTCAGGTGGGTCTGTGAAGAAATCCCAGATCTCAAGCTCGCTATGGAGAATTATGTTTTAATCGACTACGACACCAAAAGGTAAGCCGGGTTCTGCCTGGACTGCGTCTCCACTTGGGACGGGCTCAGCATGTGTGGACACAGCCTATAATTAGATCTTCCTCGATGCTGCAGGCTGATGGGAAAGTTCCTTTTAGAGTTTCCTTTCAGAGCCAGCATTGAGTTATTTTGGTAGGAAATGTTTATCCAATATTGGCAGAGGCTGTCAGAGTGAGGACATAATTGGACACTGCACGTTGCAGCAACTGGGATTGGTGTGTGTGTGAAACTACCCCAAGTTAGGAGTCACTCTTCACGGCAGGCAGCTGCCAGCGCCGGCGGCCTGGCCTGGGGAGCCTTGGTCCCTGCCCAGCTCTGGTCAAGGTCTCACTTGGCTTTGGCCACGTCTAGCAGTTTCCTACAGCCACATCCTGGGTCTCCAAGGAGAGTCCTCTGGGTGGGGAAGGGCGAGGCCGTGTCTGGAATGCCTGCCTGGAATTTTTTTTGTTTTTCTTTGAGAAACGCTCCTGCCTGTCTCTGTCCTTGGCAGGCTCGAGGTGGCACGCAGGCTCGGGCTTAAGTAGCTGCTTATGGCAGAGAACGCGGCCCTGAGGCGCCCTCGAGCCCCGCACAGGCCCTGCTGCCAGGCCTGCTCACGTGGGCTCACTTCCGTGTTTGGAGGACTTGTGGTCCTGGCCGGCCTTCCCAGCCTCAGTCAGCCCCTGGTCCCACCCCCTTGCCTCCTCGTCCTCCCCGTTCAGTCATCAGCACTTGCTGTTGTGACAAGAGGCCACCCGTGCTGGCCCCTGGTCCAGAGCAGCCAGATCCCCGCAGCGTCGGCACAGGTGGCCGCACGGCCTTGGGCGGGCAGCGCATCCATGGGTCCTGACCCCTGATAAGGACGCCTCCTGCCCCTGGGGTGAGGGCGCCTGTGGCCGCTGACCTTGAATGATGGTCTCGAGGTCTGTGCAGCTCACGTCTCTTGATGGTTGAGTGCCGTGGGCCTGGCCTAGAGCAGCTGGGGTGCTTAAAGGCGCTTTTGGTGCAAGGTGCTTGCAGGTGGGGGTTTGGTGTTCTTCCCTCCGTGTTCAGCCAGTTGAGGAAAGACTGGAAGGACGTGGGGCTGGGAGAGGGCAGGGGGCCGTCTGACGGTGCCCACCCCAGGGACCCGTGTGACCTCAGGGTCTGTGACAGCAGGGCCGGCGCAGAGAGCCGAGCTCCTCTGTCTGGTGGATCCTGGCAGGGATCAGGGTGCCCAGGTTCCCCTGAGCTTCCGTGTTGCTCATCCTCCCAGGAAAAGGTCTCTTCCAGGGTGTAGCCAGAGGCTTTGAAGGAGGTGTAGAAGTCAGAACACAAGGAAGTGAGGTTGTGAACTAGTGTGTTGTTTTCTCCCTGAGGCCCGCGTAGGAAGACAGGAGCTGGAGATGGACTGGCCATCGCGTCCACCCTTCCATTTCGAAGAGTGGGTGCCTGGGGCCAGGGACAGGCGTGTCACTCACAGACACTGCACTCGGGTGGCTGCTGGGCATGCTCCCTGGGACCCCGTGGCCCAGTGCTGGGCTGGACCCCTCACGCCTGTGCACGTGGTTAGCTCCCCTGGAATGTGGGTTTCCTGCCTTGTTGCGGCGTGTCAGCCTGCTCCCAGCGTGTTGGAGCCGCGTATCCCTCGCTGTGTGTCTGTGTGTGAGTTTCACAGGCTTCAGCCGCGCCTGCTCTTTCCTGCTCGAGATCTCTGGCTTTTCAGCTGCAGCTGCCATTCTAGGAAACTGAACTTGCCATATGGTTACAGGTCCCAGTTGAATTCTTTTACTTCTGTTAGGAAGGAAGGAAGGTGCACTTAAATTCCCAGAGCCCTTCCAGGGCCAGGGTCGTGGGCCGGGGGGTCTCAAAGATGCAGGTGGGGAGGGGCTGCAGGGGGTGCTCCCTGCACCCCCGTATGCGTCCTTGGGTTCCCCGGGGTCCTGGCGTCTCACTGGGGAGCAGCCGTCTTGCTGCCCTGCCTGTAGGGGTCGTTGGACGGGCCCCCGAGTGACAGCCCCTCCCCTGTGCAGCGCAGGCACCAGGCACAGCCCCTCACTGCAGGCGTCGGGCAGGTCATCCTCCGCGGGGCCATCCCAGGCAGCCCCCGCCCCATCTCTCAATGCCAGTGGTGACAACCACAAATGGCCCCACATACCGCTCCGGGGGTACCCCTGGGTTAGGGGGTTCCATTGAAAACTCATTCCTTTGGTGTTTGGGAGAACCTAGTCTTGTTAAAAACTCCCGACAACTCCCTCATTAAGTGTCTAACACAGGCTGCTTATATCTGTGAAAGTGTCAGAAACTTAAACAGGTGTAGTAAACAGAAGTGCTGTCGGCGGGAGGCGGGAGGCGCTGACCCTACTCTCTGCAGAGCCGGGGTGTCGGCCGTCGTCTCCTTCCACCCGACCAGCAGAGTGGGAGCCCTTTCTGCCTGAGCGTGGCCCTCAGCGCCCCGGCTGTCCCCCCACCCACTCAAGTTAGGCCGAGGGGTAAACATGGAGGCCCCCCCACCCCCGGCTAGGACAGGGAAGGGGCGGCCCAGCCCTGGGGCGGTGGGACTTCATTGCATCCACGGGTTGGGGGTGAGGCGGCCTTGGTCCCGCCCGCCTCTCTCTGCTGTGGTAGCCCTTTCCCCACCCAAGGCCTGCAGGGCACCGCTGCCCGAGGCTTTGACCCGTGAACCGACCCCTCCGCCCTGGTCTCGAGGCCCCATGATGCCCCTGGGACCTCTGCCCCCTCCCACGAGGCCCAGTGGCTTGTTCCGAGCTCGGCAGTGGCCAGCGGCTATCACCTGCCTCTTTCAGCTTCGAAAGCATGCAGAGGCTCTGTGACAAGTACAACCGGGCCATCGACAGCATCCACCAGCTGGTATGTGGCCTTTACCCGCCCCTCGGGCCCGCCTCCTCCTCCAGGTCCACGCTGTGCTTCAGGACCCTGTTGCCTGTCGAGTCTCCTGGGTGCTTCAACCCGGCCCCTGAGGCCCTGGGAGTGCAGAGCCTGCAGCACCCCAGGGCGTTGGACCCTGTAGTGGGTAGGAGGTGGGGAACCGCAGCCGCTGTGACGCAGACGGTCGGGACTGAGCGGCCTCATTACTTCCAAAGGGGTCCCGGGCCCTGATGCGCCCCCGGGGGCCACGGCAGGCGGGCGGGTGACAGGGAGCCTTCCTGGGGCTTCTCCGTCCTTCACCCACCCCTCGGGCACTCTGGGCGCTGGGACAGACCAGCTAGGAGAGGGGAGCTATGCTGGGGAGCTCACACTGCTTGGGTCCAGGGGTGCACACGTGTGCACACGTACCCCCGCACGGGTACATGCATGCATGCAGGTTCATACTACACACATCCACACACAGGCTCACACACACGCTCCCGCACACATGCGTCACCATTGGGGGCAGCGGCATGGCCGGCGGGGCGGGGCCCAGGTGGACCGACTGGCGCCCCCTGTGCCGCAGTGGAAGGGCACCACGCAGCCCATGAAGCTGAACACGCGGCCGTCCACGGGGCTCCTGCGCCACATCCTGCAGCAGGTCTACAACCACTCGGTGACCGACCCCGAGAAACTCAACAACTATGAGCCCTTCTCCCCGGAGGTGTACGGGGAGACTTCCTTCGACCTGGTCGCTCAGATGATTGACGAGATCAAGATGACCGAAGACGACCTGTTTGTGGACCTGGGTAGCGGTGAGTGTGGGCCATGCCCATGTGCCCGCCGGGAGGGGTCCGGGGCAAGTGCTAGGCAGTGGGGGGGGGCCCTGACCCTGCAGTCCTGAGTCAGCACACCCCTCTCCCCACCCGGCAGGCCGCAAACCAAGCCCGCCTTTCTGGTGCCCAGAAAGCTGCCCCTTCACTCCTGCTAAGCCAGCCTGAGAAGGTCCATGGGCTCCGCCCAGCTGCCAGCGCTGAGCTGCGGCTCTGCTTCTCGCCCCCCCCACCCCCCCCACCCCTGGCCTGCTCCTGCTGAGAGGAGAGCCCTGCTCCCTGTGCCCTCAGGCCTCGTGGCCGCACTCCCTCCTGCTCCCTCCTGGGCCTGGGGCTGCTCCTGGCTCTTGGCCCACAGGTGGCCCCAGGGACCACCGAGGCAGACCAGCCCCCACCTTGCTGGCGGTCCCTCCCCTCTTCCCGCACTCACCAGCCCAAGCGGCCCCCCTGCTTGCTCACGGGGTGTCCTTCTGCACAGAGTCGAGACTCCTGGGGGTAGGGCCTGGCAGGCACACACGTGGCACACCGTGCTGCCTGAGTAAGCACTGGGCTGACTGGTTCCTGGTGGGACCCGTGAGGTCACGGGCTGATGGGGGGGCTGTCCGGCATGTTGTTGGGCGGCTCCATCAGGAACCCCCAGCACAGCCCGCTGGGGCATCTCTGCCATCCCATGTGACCTGCTCACAGACCCGAAAGTCCCATCTCAGCCGGGCAGGGGCCCTGCAGATGGGGACGAAGGTGGCTTCTTTCGTGGCGTCATCATCGGTTTAAGTCCTTTAAGTGTATGATTCATGTTTTGATAAGAATGCACGCGCTTCAAAGGTCATTTCTCTAAAAGCCTGTAAAACTCCCCTAGTGTCAGAGGGCTTATGATTTCTGAGAAGCGCCAGCCTCCTCAGGCCGAGCTCTCCACGCCTTGCCCCTGTCCCCTGGGAGGGACCGCTCGTCCTCTCCCCTGTTTACCCCGTGTTTCTGAATAGAGGTTTGTTTTCATCATTGGAGTACATTCTATTCAAAATGGGAAGTCAAGGGGCTCCTGACACTTTGTTTAAAGTGCAACTGATCTAAGTTCAAGGAAAGACCATTTAAAAAGCTTCCTTTTGTCGTGAAGGCTACATGCCCGCAGACTCTGCCTGCGTCCTACTGGTGTGTGCGTGTGGTGCGGGGCTCTCCCACCCCCTCTCTGAGCCCGCTTCAGACTCGGCTGAGGATGCAAGCTGGCCATGTAGTGGAACAGTGGTGTGTCCGGGGTGGGCGGGAGCCTTCCCGAGGGGTTCCTGGGTCCCACATAGCTGGGTCTGTGTCTGGACAGTTAATGCCACGTGGGGCTGTGGACCAAGGACGGACTCTGGTTGGGGGGCTGTGGAGTGTTGTCCTTGGATGATGAAGTGGAACCCAGATGGCTGTTCCCTGGTGGCGGCTCAGCCCACGGCCTGGGGCATTTGAACACGTTCTGTGACCTCGGAGAGCGCTCGGGCACCTTCGCTGAGAGACTGTGGCCTCTGCCTGGTGACCTTGTGGCCATCGCCCCAGTGGCTGGCGTGTGGCCTCTGTCACAGTGCACATCTGACACCTGCTGCTGTCTGTCTGTCTCTCTCTCTCTCTGAAGGAGTGGGCCAGGTTGTGCTGCAGGTCGCTGCGGCTACCAACTGCAAACATCACTATGGTGTCGAGAAAGCTGACATCCCGGCCAAGTACGCGGAGGTGAGCGCTTCTGGGCTCTGGGCATGGTTGCATCTGTTGCTTTTCTTTCTAACCTTGGTTTGTGGTGGCCTGTGGGTCAAGGGCGTGGCCTGTGCCGGGGGTCAAGGGGAGGGGAGTTCCCCCAGTACCGTGGGGTCAGCTGGCATCACCCTTGTGCCGGCGTCTGCCTGGGGGGCGGCAGAGTCTGGGGAGAGCACACGTCTGAGCGGTGTCATCCCCACAGGAACGTGTTTAGAGTTGTGATTCGCACGCCCGCTGACTCGGGTTCCCTGTGGTCGGGAGCCTTTGCCAGGAACCCCGGAGCGGGCGGGCGAGGGGAGGAAGGGGGATTCGGGAGCCGTGGGTGCCATTCCGGCTGCCTGGTTCCTGATGGGCTGTCTGGTTCGGCTCCCTTGCAGACCATGGACCGAGAGTTCAGGAAGTGGATGAAATGGTATGGAAAAAAGCATGCAGAATACACAGTGAGTGCCACCGCTCCATGCCCCGTGGCTGCTGGTGCAGTGCCTGCCCTGAGCCTCCGCCCCCGGGGGCGGGGGCAGCTCCGCCACCCGGAGCCCCCTCCCCACCGCTTTCCACCCTCTGCCGGCCACTCTCATCCTCCCTCCTGGGGGCCCTTGCGGGCGCTCAGAGAACAGAGGTGGCCCACGTGGCGTTTCTCTTCCTCAGCCCCCCAGGCACTGGCAAGGCCTCAGAGCACCGGCTCTTTCAGAGGCAGCGCCCCTCCCGGGTTGGCACGTGGGGGCGGCAGGGTGCGGGCGAGGCGGCCTCTGCCCCGTCCGCGGGCCGGCTGAGGGCATCTTTCTCCTGCTTGCCCCCCGCAGCAGCGTGGGGCCCAGCGGATGAGTCCCCCAGCTGTCCCGGTGCCGCCTGCCCCTCTGCCCCTCACTCAGCATCGCTCAGCCCGGCCTTTCGACGCCGAGGTTCCTCGGGTCTCGCTCCTGGATCCTGGACGCTCTGGCCTCTCTCTCTGCTCCTCCTACCCAGGGTGTCCGCATCCGCATCCTCGGCTCGAGTGCGTTTCTGTGCTCAAGGCTTCATCAGTCTTTCTGCCAGGTTTCGGTTGCCTGTGGACGCACGGCCGCCATGCAGCCACCATCCCCTGGGCCGCTGCTGGGGCATCGCAGGGGGCGGGGTCCGCAACCGGATCTTCACCACACCCACCACTTCCCATCTCACGCCCCCCAGGTCACTTAGACCCCAGCTGGCTGCGACGTGGTCCTGACGCCCCCTCCCAGAGTTCCTTGCCGTGCTCGCTGCTCTCCCTGCGTCGTCCTGCGGGCAGGGTTGTGGGGCCAGAGTCGGCGTCCCCGTCGCCTCAGGGACCCAGAGTGGGTCACGTAATTGTAGGTGGGAGGCGGATGGGGGCGCAGTAGAGGGGGCTCCAGGCTCTTAGAACAGCCTAGCCATTTCTCCTTTCATGGGTCGTGCCCTCGGTGTCGTGTTTAAAAAAGCCAAGCCTCAGCTCACCTAGATTTACCCTCATGGTATCGTATAGGAGTTCTGTGGCTGTGCGTTTTGCCTGTAGGTTCGTGGTTTCTTTCTGGTTACTTCTGGTGGAGGGCGTGAGGTCTGCGTCTACATTCATTTCTCCGTGTGCAGACATCCAGCTGCCCTGCCCTGTCTGCTGCAGGGCTGCCTCTCTCTGTTGAGCCGTCTTTGTTGATTCGTCCAAGGCCAGCGGCCGCTGCGCTCCGTCCCACGCTCTCCCTGTGTGCTCTCTCAGTGGCACCGCAGTGTCTTGACAGCTGCGTCTTCGTGAGAGTCAGTCCTGAACCGCGTGGCATCGGGCCTCCAGCCTCGTTCTCCTCCTTCAGTGATGTGCTGGCCGCTCTGGGGGGTTTGGACTTGACTTCTGTCTGCGCTGTGCTGACGTACATCCATACCCTCATCCTGCAACCTTCCTGTAGTTACTGTGTTAGTTCCAGGGTTGTCGTCGTTTTCGTTGACTCTTTTGGATTTTCTACATAGACGATAACATCACCTTTGAACAAGGGCAGTTTTATGTCTTCCTTCCCAGTCGGTACCCTTTCCTTTTCTTGTCTTATTGCATTAGCCGGGGCTTTTGGTGTGGTGTTGAGAGGGCACATCCTTTTCTTGCCCCTGATCTCAGCAGGAAAGCCTCGAGCTTCTCACCATGGGTGTGATGTTAGCTTTGGGGTTTTTCTGTGGACGTTCTTTTTAAAGTTGACACGGTTCACCTCTGTTCTTATTTTTGTTCTGGAAATCTTTATTGTGAATGGGTACTGGGTTTTGTTAGAGCTGCTTTTGCGTTGTGTGGTTTTCCTCTTTGGCCTGTTGAGGGGACAGAGTACAAAGGCTGGTGTACTTCCATGCCCGGGATAAGTCCCGCCTGGCCCTGGGGTATAGCTCCTATTTTGTTGAGGGTATTTGCAGCCGAGAGGGATGCTGGTCTGTAGTTTTCCTTTCTCGTGATGCCTGGCTTTGATATCAGGGTGGTGTGGCCTCGTGGTGTGAGCTCGGCTGTGCCCTCTCTGCTTCTGCTCTGCTGTTCTTGGACCAGGACTTGCACATCTACAGGCTGGGCCCAGCTCCCCTCCCCTTTTTCCTGGTGGGATTTCTTGCACGATTCTCTCCCCTCAGTGAAAAGCGAGGGGTGTATCCTCTGGCCTCCTGTGTCCCTCCTGCATCTGACGTCCTCTGATGTTCGTTGCTCAGGCTGAGGGCAGTCAGTCCAGTTGGTTTCTGTTTCCAGGAAACTTCTTCCTGCCCAGTCCCTAGATCCACTGGCATGCTGCTAAGAGTTCCTGGATGGTTTACCATTTTCCTAAGACCTTATGACCTCCTAAAACATAGGTTTTTAAATTTAAGAAGTGCCTCCTGCTTCTGGTGAGAGGGCCAAGCAGTTCAATCCCATAGTGTAGAAGTCTGCATCGACACAGGTCCCAGGGATGCCCCGATGGATCCGCGGGCAGCCTTCGCTGCTTTATTTGGAGTGTGGTTCTAGCTGTTGGTACAATCCCCGCGGCTGGAGGGAGAGGCGGGGGTGAGGCTGGTGGGCTGCCCGCCCCGGCGGGTCACCTCTCCTCCCTTCCTCCCCTCATCACCTTTGGGCGGCAGCGCTTGGCCTGGTGGGTGTTTGGGGGTCAGTGGCACGTCAGCTGGCTCATTGGCGGGGCTCCCTGTGTGTAAACCTTCTCGCTCTTTGGCCTCGTGAGGTCCAGGGCGCTTGTCAGTTGCCCTTGCTCTGTGGCCTCGCGAGGTGGCTGTGAGCAGAACTCGGCTCAGAGGACTCTTGGTCGTGGCCTTGGCGGCCGTGTCTGGAGTGGCAGCCAGCTGTGCCTCTGGCGTCCACGTGGCCCTGCTCCAGGAGGGTGTGGCGACAGCCCCTGCCCAACGCCTGGATTTGGCAGGAGCTTGCCGGCTGGGTCTGGAAAGGTGCCCCCACTGTGGCTGGGAGCAGGTGCCCTGGTTGGCGGGCAGGGTCCTGCCCCTGTCACTTAGTAACTGAGGGGGGAACAAAGCCAGCAGGAGCCTCCGAGCCCAGTGTGTTTCCTGGCGTCTGAGCCGCCTCTTCAGTCCCTGCCCGGCCCTGCAGCCCACAGCTCTCCTCCCGTCGGAGGCCCTGGGCCCTCCCTACGCTCGGCTTCTGCCTGCGTCTGTCACACCTCAGGGCGCCCCCTGTCGCCGGGCGACCCCGTGCTGTCGGCCCCTGGCAGTGGGCCTGGCACACAGGTTTCCCTTGCCTGGGGCGGTGGCGGCCTCACAGAAGTGCCGTGTGGGGAGGTGCCCCCGGCCAGGTCCCCGGGCAGGCGGTGGCAGCCCCTGTGCCTTTGCGGGCTGGGGTCCGTTCTTCTCTCTTATGCCTGTGTGCGTTTCTCCACACTGGAGGTCTTGGTTATCTTGGGGCCAGTCACGGGTCCTTGGTGGGGGTGACATCTTCCTGGCACGGGTAACTCGGGCACACTGGCCCCAGCAACACAGAGCCGACTCGGCCAGTCTGTGTCAAGAGGCGAATGGCGGCGGGGCCGGGACAGTGGCTGTTTTCTTGCCTTGAACATGAGGCCACAACAGAGCAGTGGCGCTGTGGCTTGGATGGGTGAGCCCCCATGGAGAGAGAAGCCACATCAGGACGAGCCTGCGGGACCCCAGGACGCAGCAGACGTCGTCCTCACATTGTGGTTTATTGAGACAGGATGGAGCAAAACCAGCAGAGGGAAGAGGCATAGGGTGGGTCCAGGGGACCAGGCGCAAGCTTCCAGACTCTATAGGACGTGCTTCACTCCCCCAAACGAGATGTGACAGCACGAGCGAGGTGTGCGCCCCAGGGAGGCTCACAAGACCCAGTGCCCGGGGGCTGTGGTCTGCTCTCTTGGCCGCAGAGACCCAGCCCAGGGTTCTCACTGGGGGCCGGTCAGCCGAGACCCCAGACTCTGGGAGGAGAGCAGGTGCCCGTGTGGACCCCGTGTTTTCCCAGAGAGTGTGCGGACAGGGAGCCCCCGAGGTCGGGTTCCAGACACCGAGCGCCCTTCCCAGGACACGGCCTCAGGCCTGCAGCTTGAGCGTTTTCCTGTGCGGCATCGTAAGGACTTTGGACTTGGGTCAGTGCCCCGAGCCTGCCGGGCTGTGCGCAGGGAACCGTGGCAGCCTCACGAGGGGAGAGGACCCAGCGAGCAGACGCGGACGTCTGGGACGTAGACCTCCCACAGCACCTGGGTGTTTTAGGACAGCCATCTCCCTTCTGCCCTGCGGGGCTCGGCCCCTCGTGTCCCTGGGTGACTCCTGTGTGCTGGAGGGCGCCGGACTTGGCAGCTGCTCTGCCTGGGCGCCGTGGCATTCACAGGCTCCTACGCTTGGGGTCTTCCCTCCTGCCCGTCCCAAGACAGGCTCAGGGGCCAGCCCTGCTGGGCGGCGCTGCCCCATCGCTGCCTGGAGGGCCTCCGGTCACCTGATGGCTTGTGGGGTGCAGATGGGGGCCGCCAGCAGCCACCTCCACCCTCCCCCAGAGACACTCTGTCTGTGGGTCCACCTGTCCTGGACGTTTCCCATCAATGGAATCACACACCGTGTGTCCTTCTGTGTCTGGCTTCTCTCACTGAGCATCGTGTTCTCAGGGTCCGTCCACGTTGCAGCGAGTGTCGGGGCTTCACCCCTTTTTATAGCTGGGTGATGCTCCCGTGTGTGGAGGGACCACAGGGTGTTTATCTGTTCACGTTCATGATGGACACGTGGGTTCCCACCTTTGCTGCTGCGGACGGGTGTGCAGGTTTTCCTGTGGAGGTCTGTTTTCACTTCTCTGGGGTGGACACCCAGGAGTGGGATGATAGCCTTTTTTTGAAGAATTATAAAGCCAGATTTCTTGGTTTGTTAAATGGTACAGTTCTGGGCAGTTAGGTTAATAAGGTCTGAGTTGTCTCAGGCAGACTTTGGCCTTGAGGCACAATGAGATTAGTCGGCTAACAAAGATAGTGGTCAGAGCAGTGCTGAGGGCGTAAGGACAGCCCTGCTGCCCAGGAGACAGGCGAGGTGGTGCAGGAGAGCTGAGCCCTTGCTGCGTGTGCTCTGTCCAGCACGGCCGCCTCGGGGCGCCCCCTGCTGGCCCTGCATGGCCATGGCGTGGTCTCGGCCTCTCCCCGCCGTCCCCTTGTGGGAGCCTGGCCCCAATGCCACCGCCCCGCCGCGGCCTCCCCACTCAGGGCCTCTGCTCATTCCATCTCTTCTTTGGGGGGCAGGCAGGGGTGGGGTGCAGAGGCGAGCGAGACCCCTGAGTGATGGGCTATCCCTCTTTTCTCCTTTCAGCTGGAGAGAGGAGATTTCCTCTCAGAGGAGTGGAGAGAGCGGATCGCCAACACGAGGTACGGCCGGGCTAGAGTGAGGCTGCGAGGGCCGCAGGGGCCTGCCGGGCAAGGCAGGATGGCACGGGGTGGCACAGCTCCCCATCCCCCCCCACACCGGGTTGCTCCCCCCCCCCACGGGGGTCATCCCAGCAGGCAGGGGCTGGAGAGTGCGGGGAGGGCCCGGAGAGTGCGGGGAGGGGCCCGGGCTCAGTGCAGGTTCCTGCTCTCGGGCCTCCCCGGGATGGATGGTAGCACCGTGGCAAGCAGTCTCCAGGCCGACACCGCCGTGTGTCCTGAGCTTGCCGGCAGCTCTGCCTCCGTGGCTCCTTCCCTTGTCCTGCCCAGGCCTGGGGCCGGGGAGCGGGCTGGACCCCGCGCTTGCGCACCTGGCGGCAGCAGTGGCAGCACCTGTGGAGCGCAAGGCGCTCGTGTGGCTCAGTGGGGATGGCCAGGCTTGGTGACTGCGGGGCGGGCCTGTCACTCTCTCAGCTCTCTGGCGGGGGGCGGGTCACACCATTTCCCTTCGACCTCATGGTCTGGCCTCCCCGCCTTCTTTCTGCATGTGCTCGCTGCATGGCGCCCCGAGGCCCCACCACTGGGTTCCGTGCGGGCAGGTAGGGAGCAGGTGTCCCTCGTTCACAAAGGCCTGTCCTTGTCTCGCTCTCCTGTGAGAATGTCTCACCTGATTTGGGCACGCCGTCCCCCTTTTCTTGAGGGGACCGTGCTGACCCCGTGGGTGTCCCCATCAGATCAGACGGGGTCGGGGGGCTCTGGAGCAGCTGCCGTGGGGGCCTCTCCCATGGGGGGCATCCAGCAGCTGTGGCCCGGCAAGGAAGAGCTCGCCCAGAGCACCGCGAGGCCCCGAGGCCGGGCTCTGCCAGGGCCCCCAGACGGTGCCCCCCAGACGGCGAGCGCCCTAGGCGCTCTGCTTCCTATTGGGGGTGCCCCCGCCCTGACCAGCTCCTCTGTGCTCAGGGGTCTTCATCCTGGCTTCTGCGGGCCTCAGGGAGCTTCCTTGTTTCCTCTCGGGTGACTCTAGTTCGGGCAGCCCAGGGTCTGTCCTGGCTTACCCCCTCTCCCCACCTTGGCCACCTTGAGGCCCTGGCGTGCAGCCTCCCCAGGCTCCGTCCCAGAGCAGGGACCCCTCCAGGCCGGCCCCACTCCCTGTCGGAGCCTCCCCAGCTCGCCGCTCTCATCAGGGCTCTGCCCGTCGGCTCCAACCTGAACCGCACCGCATCTGGGTTTCTTTCCAAGCAGTCGGCAGCGAGAGAGCTTGGCTTACACCTTCAGTGCTTCTCCTACTGCCCGTGACCATCCTCGCCCCGGTCAGATCTTCCGTTACTGTCCTAGTACCGAGATTCCAGACAAGTGGCATGGAATGGCAGCTTGCTGCTGTCCATCACGTTCAGATGGGGAAGGGATCCCTGGTGGGGGTCCTCCATGGGGGCAGGAGCCGGCGGGCAGAGGAGGGGACAGGTTGGGGGCCTGTGCAGGCAGCAGTCTCCCACCACCCAGTGGGCGTCTTCAGGCAGCGCTTCCTCGGGCCGTCGGGTGCCAGAGAACGTTTGAGAAATGGGAGAGGATGGGCCAGGCCCTGCCTCGGAAGAACTTGGCGCTGGGCCCCTGGGTGGTGGTGCAGCTTGATGGGTCTGTGCTGCTTTCCTGCCCGGGTGTTCTCGCACCTCTCTGCCCAGGGGGTGCTCGAGCTGCCCGCTTTCCAACCCTGGGGCACCGGAGGGGCAGGTGGGGCAGCCCGTTGCCCTGGGCCTGTGTCCGTGCGCGCCTTCCCAAGGAAGCCAGGGGTCTGCTTGTCGCGGCATCTGTGTTCACGGCACCCAGGGTGGCAGTCACAGCCTCTGGGCCCTGGCACCCGTCCCCAGGCTGGGCGGAGGTGGTGCGGGCAGAGGCGGTAGGTGGCGTAGGCGCGGCGGCTCTGTGTGTGTGTGCAAGTAGAACCTCCTTTCACTCAACTGGAATATTATTTTGCAGTGTTATATTTGTGAATAACTTTGCCTTTGGTCCTGAGGTGGATCACCAGCTGAAGGAGCGGTTCGCAAACATGAAGGAAGGTAATGGACTCCCCCCCACCCCCCACCCCCACCCCGTGCATCCCGCGTCTGCGCCTGCTCGGGGCTCTGCAACTGTGGCCCTGATCGCAGGTGGTGGGGTCCGGACTGGCGTTGGGATCGGCCCTGGTGGGAAGGCCTCAGGCAGCGGGTCCCGTCCATGGTGGCTCTTACCGTCACCTAGGTTGTGGGAGGGTGCCTTGCAGCTCAGTGTGTGTGGTGGAATAGACCCGACGCCTCCCCCGCTCAGGCCCCAGCTTGCAGCCGCCGGAAGGACTGGGGCGGGGACCAGATTAGCAGGGGAGCTGCAGGCTGTCTGGTTCGTTCTGTTGCGGAGACAGGGAGTGACTTCTTAGTTCAAGGACATCCTGCCTTCTCCTAAAGGATTCTTCACGGTGTATGGGAAACTGAAACTTGATTGGGTGTCCCCATGTGATCTGGAACCCTAACTTGGGGGCGCTGAGGGCATGGGGGTTCCCCTGGCCAGCCCCTGTGGCCTTTGCTGGTCGGGTCTTTCCTGTACTTGGACCCGGGCTGCCTGGCTAGCGCCACTCCCGCTGCTTCCCCTTCCCCCTCACACTCGGTCCCTGGGCCAGTCGAGACCCGGACACCGGAGGGGACCTCACCCTTCTTGTGTCCAAGTAGGAGGGGCGTGTTCTCCCGTGCTTATGAAAGCGTTTAGACTCACAGGTTACCTTGGTGCTTTTGTGGAGTGAGTGCTGCTGGCATCTGGCCAGAACCTGGTGCGGGGGGAGGTCTGGACAGGCCAGGAAGAGACCGGGAGGGAAGTGCCAAGGCCAAGCGCTTGGGTCGACGGGAGCTCCTGGTGTCTGAGCAGACTCTCCCCTCCTCAGGAGCGCGGGCAGGGGTTGTTAGGTCTTCTTGTGTCCCGAGCTCCTCCGTCTGGCGTGGTGAGCCTGAGCAGGGTGGTCCCCAAGTGAGATCCCTCCAGGCCACTGAAGGTGCAGGGAGGGAGCTGTGTCGAGGTCTCGGCTTAGCCACCAGAGTGGGTCGCGCCTTCCCAGGCCCAGCAGCACACATGAGGTGTCCCTTAGCTGTGCCTGGGGCATCCTCGTGCACATGGAGCATCAGACCGATGCAGGCACCTGGGTGGGAGCCTTCTAAACAGCTGGGAGCTGACCAGTTTCTTTGAACCTAGTTTGTGTTCTCGTGCCCGCCCCTGGGTCCCGTGGTGAGTTGCGCTTAGGCTCAGAGTGGGAGAGCAGGTCCGGTGTGTTCCAGGAAGAGGGGACGGAGGAGTGGCTGCTTCTTCAGGCCGTCCTCCCCAGTCCGCCTCCCTCAGAAAGCTGGGCGCTTTCTGTCCCAGCACCATCGATGGTCCTGACAAGCAGGGCAGCAGCTGGGGGACCCAGGCAGGGCCTGCGTTTCCCCTTGTCCTGTGCCCTCGCGCCTGCTTCTCACCTGCTGCCTTGTTTCTTCCCCGTGGGGAGGCCGGTAGCTTCCCATGTGTGGTGAACACTCAGGATGATGGCGGCTCCGTCTGTGCCCTGTGACGCGCTCTGCTCCAGGAGCGTGGGGGTCATCCCACTGCTGGTGGAGTCATGGGCTTCTTTTCCTGGACGCCCAGTCGCACACGGCCGGGCTCTGGTCCTCGGCCGGGGGCTGTCGCCACCCGTGTGAGAACTCTAGCCTCGGGTTCCCATCTTTCTCGGGGTCCTCCTGGCAGGACGGGACCAGTCTCCCGGGCCCCCCGTGGGCTATGACCTCAGCGTGAGGTCAGATATACTGCCCCACATGCCCACGGCCCCGCTGGGCTCTGCCCGCTCCCCCTCCTGGGGCCTGGCCGGGGATGCAGCCCTGACAGTGTGTCCCCATGCTTCTCCAGTCGTGACATGAGATGGCAGGAGCCACCTGTCCTGCAGAGAGGTCTCCAGAAAGCATCTTCATCCTTGGGCTCATGAGGGTGGCTTCTCCGGCCGCTGCTGCTGCCCCGATTCCCACGTCAGGTCTTCCCTGACGTGCTGCAGGAGCCCTGGCAGGGCAGACGTGCTGCGCTCTGTCCTGCCCCCCCCCACTGCTCCCTGTCCCCGCAGCTGCGGGGAGGCCCCCGTGCCATCCTGATCTCCTCTGTGGCCGGGAGAGAGAAACAGGGTGTGTCCCCGAAGTTTTGTTATGAAACATTTCAAGCAAACAGGAGAGGGGAAGGATCACCCAGCATGGACGCAGAGAGTTTCCAGCTGCCCTCAGCACCGCCGGCTGCGTGTGTGTTTGCGTGTGTGCGTGTGCAGGTGAGCGTGAGCCTGAGCGTGCGGCAGGGTCGCTCCTGATGGTTTTGTGGGAACGAGCGCCCTGCCCGGGCCCCTCTCCTGAGCACTCGGCGCCCATCCCCGCGCCCCACCCGGGAGAGGAGCGTGGATTCCTGCTCTGCCAGCTGCCACAGGCACCTCTTGGGCTGTGCAGTCCCGACTCTCTAGCCTTAGGGCCTCGGGTCGTGGCCCCTCCATCTTTGTGGACGCGGCCCGCTGGGCATCGGGCCTCATTGTCTTGTGGGATGTTGCCCATTCTTCACTTGTCCCTCGTGGTCATCTTGACCTTGCCCTCCGCACCCCGTGTCCCACCTGAGCGCCTGGGTGTTGCACGCGGCTGTCTCGGGGCCCCTGGTGACATGCCCACAGAAGTCCCCTCAGGTCACCTGTTGTCCCGGAAGCCTTGCAGGGGGCACATTCCTAATTCGAGCGTCCTCCCTTCAACACTCTTCAGGTGCGCCCAGGGGACCCCCTCAGCCTCTGGCTGCTGTGACTTTGCTGTCACAACCAGCCGACTGCCCAAACTCGCCCCTGGCCAGCCCGGGACCTGGCATCGCCGCCTCCTCGGGGTGGGGGGCGCCCAGAGGCCAGGCTGGGGCTTGGGGAGCCGTGAACGCGTGCGCGAGCAGAGGGCTCATCCTGACTGCTTCAGTTTACTCAGCACGCGTTTTCTTTGACTTCTATATTTGGTTCTGTATTTCCTACGCTGGAACGTTCTGGTGTATTACGTTTCCTGACAGTGTTTCATACAGGATGGGGGAAGCGTCTGTAACCTGGGGGTGACATCATCAATCATGACCTCACTGCAGGAGGCTGCGAGTCCTTGTGGTTCTTTTCCCTACAATGACTGCACACGTGCCGGGAGTTAATTGGAAAAACTGTTTTCTGTACAGCTGTTCCCGACCTGACCCTTCCACATTCTGTCTGTGTGGGGTCAGGGCCCGGTTCTGCCTTAGGTTCTGTCTGTTCCTGTGGATCAGGACCCAGTTCTCCCTCAGGTTCTGTTTGTGTGGAGTCTGGGCCCGTTCTCTCTGAGGTCCTGTTTCCCTGGAGTCGGGCCTCGTCCTGCCTCAGGTTCTGTCTGTGTGTGTGGATCAAGACCTGGTTCTCCCTCAGGTTCTGTTGGTTCTGTGTTAGGGCCTGGTCCAGCCTTAGGTTCTGTCTGTTTGTCCGGACCCGGTTCTCCCTCAGGTTCTGTCTGTCTCTGGGGTCAGGGCTGGTTCTGGTCCGGGTCTGGTGTGGGTGTGGCGCATCTAGACAGCGCAGAAGTTGTAGAGGGGGTGCCCAGCGGGCCCCACGACGAGACCCAGGGGACTGTGAGGCCCTGAGCACGTTTTGCAGGAAAGCAAATCGTGAGACGGGCCGGAGCCCTCAGGCGCCGCTTTGTTTGCTTTTAGCTGTGAGGTTAGCTCAGGACTCCCAGTCCCTCGGCTTTTCTGTGTTCAGAGGGCTGGTTTCTCTGGATGCTTTTGCGTCCTGGTGCTCTAAGCTTCACCAGGCTCTTGCTCGTATCGCGCACTGGTGTCCCCACGGCCGGCACTGATCCCTCTCTGTGTTTTAGGTGGCAGAATTGTGTCCTCGAAGCCCTTTGCACCTCTGAACTTCAGAATAAACAGTAGAAACTTGAGTGGTAAGAGCTCTCGTGTTGCCGAGTTCTTAACACGTGTAATTATGAGCACCTGCCGTGGGTTAAAGCGGGGTCACCCGCCAGCAGTGGTGACGGCGGGGGGCGTCCCGGGCATTGTGGGATGTGGAGCGGTGGCCGCACTCACTCCATGAGGGAGGCCCCCAGTTGTGACAACCCCAGACATCCCCAGACGTGGCCCTGGGCAGGACTGTGGTGCCGGGACCCAAGGGAGCAGTGACAAGGACAAGCAGCGGTGTGTGCGGGCCTGCGGGGTGGCAGGACCCTCAGGCGCTGGGCATCCTTGCGGCTGCTTGGTTGCCACATCGGCCCCCACGGGCCTTCGGAACCCGCCCTGTGGGCTTATCGCCCTTGTCCTTGGCCAGGTGCCTGGGTGCGGGGAGGGCCGTGGGCACCTCCCCAGCTGGCAGTTGGGACACGCCTGGGACCTGAGCCCCGCCATACCCCTCCCCCTGGTGCCCTGGCAACCCCTGACCCCTGCGCCCCGCTGTGCGCAGACATCGGCACCATCATGCGCGTCGTGGAGCTGTCGCCTCTAAAAGGCTCGGTGTCGTGGACGGGGAAGCCGGTGTCTTACTACCTGCACACCATCGACCGCACCATAGTGAGTGGCACCCCTTCCTCCCCAACCTGCCTCTCAGCGCTCACCGCGCCCGCCACTGCCTAACGTCGGTGGGTCTGGGGTGTGGCTCTTGTCCTGACAGGGTTTTCCATTGCTAATGAGAAGTTTTCTTTTCCTTTTTCATTTTTAGCTTGAAAACTATTTTTCTAGTCTGAAAAATCCAAAACTCAGGGTAAGTTTGTGTATTTGTCCTTGATCTCTAAGCTGACCAGGGCCCGAGGCATCCTGAGTGGCCGGGCGTGGGCCTGGGCGCTGGGGCCCCCTGGCTGCGGTGGCCACGTCTTGAGCAGCTGCACCCTGGCCACGTTTCTTGAGAGATTTGGGGGAGATAGGTTGGAGTTACAGCCTTTCAAAATGTCCCGCGGCCTCGTGCTCATCACTTTGTCTCTGAACCTCGTGGGACGTGTGTCCCAGTGACTTTCTCTTTGGAGGCTCAGACAAGCACGTGAGCCTTGAAGGAGCCCCCCGCCCAGGCCCTTTCTGCCATACTAGGGCCTCTGGGTCAGGGCATGGTGATGGACACCCTCACCTGGAGACAGAGGACGGCCTTGCAGGTGGCCCTGTCCTCCCTCCTGTTGCCGTGGGTGTCCCGCAGCCCTCGCCTGTGGACAGCATGCCCCTCGGTGGGGAAGTGGTTGTGGGGACCTTGGGACCACCCGCCGCGGGGGTGGCCAGGCCAGGCCGTCCAGGGGCCCACTGGGTTCCCAGCAGAGACTGGGTGTGGGGTGTGTGTACCTCGCTTTCCCCCAGGGCCAGGGCTGCAGGGCCCCTGCAGGCAGGAGGGTCTCTGCGGTGCCCGCGGTTCAGAGGACGAGCCCCCCGCTTACTCCCCAGGAGGAACAAGAGGCAGCTCGGCGCCGGCAGCAGCGGGAGAACAAGAGCAACACGACCACCCCCACCAAGGTGCCCGAGAGCAAGACGGCCATGCCCGCCGACACCCCCATGGTGAGCGCCCCGCCCCCGGCCAGATGGGGCGGCCCCGGTCTCGGGGGAGGGAGCCAGGCTGCCCCCGGGAGCCCACATCGCCGGCTGGTCCCTCATGTGGTCTTCCGCTAGGACTCTGGTGCTGAGGAAGAGAAAGCCGGGGTGACCACTGTCAAGAAGCCATCTCCCTCCAAGGCCCGGAAGAAGAAGCTGAACAAGAAGGGCCGGAAGATGGCCGGCCGGAAGCGCGGACGTCCCAAGAAGATGAGCACCACCAACCCCGAGCGCAAGCCCAAGAAGACCCAGAGCGCACTGGACCTGCTGCATGCCCAGACCGTGTCGCGGGCGGCGTCACCCTCGCCGCAGGGTGAGTGCCTCCTCGCCCCCGCCCTGCTGTGCTCTGGGGTCCCGGGGAGCCTCACCGCTGTCCCTTTTCCTGCTGGCCCGGGCAGAAGCCACTGCGACAGCGTCTGCGCTGAGTACTCGGAGATGGGGGGGGCGGTGCTCCAGCTCCAGAGCCTCCCGAGGGCTCTCCAGGGGTCCCGTGCAGAAGCCCTGCTCAGGCAGGGCGAAGTGCCGTGGTTTGGGGTCTGGTGGCGGCTTGGCTGGGCAGCTGGGGCGTCGCGCAGGGCCTGGCGTCTAGAGAGCGTGACCCGCTGTCTCCCCGCAGGCGCCCCCTACCAGCTACCTCCCAGCACGCAGCGACGCCCCCCTGAGCAGCTGCTGCTGGCGCCCGCCCCGCCTGCCCTACACCGGCTGCTAGGTGAGCCGCCCCGGGGGGCGCGGGCGGAGGCCGGGCGGGCGGGGTGGCTTGTTCGCAGACCCCCTGGGAAGCCCACGCTGCATGTCCAAGCGCACCACCCCCAGGGCTCAGGCTCAGTCCTGCCAGGGCGCGCCTGGGCTTCGGGGTCAGCGGGGCCCGTGCAGCAGTCTGAGGCTGCAGTCCTGCCCCAGGGGAAGTGAGGCCACGTCTGGGGGCATCATCACAACTGGAGGGGGGGCTCCTGGCGTCAAGAAGGTGGAGGCCAGGGATGCTGTTCCACCACCCACGGTGCCCAGGGTGCCCCGCAGAGAAGGACCCAGCCCCGTGTCTGCAGTGTCAGGGAGACCTGTCCGGGATGAGCCCGGTGCCCCGAGGGAGCAGGGCCCTGTCCTGCCGAGTCGAGCTCGTGCTCACGTGGCTGGGCTGCCTTGAGATGCCTCGTCCCTTCAGAAAGTGGATGAAGGAAACTCCTGTACAATTTTCTCGATTCAACATCGGTAGCATATGTTTACCGAGAAGACCGGCAGACTGGCTGACCGCAACCCATGTGTCCTTGGGGAGAACGAAAACGCGGGCTGGGGATGGCAGGAGCTGTGAGGGTCCCCACGTGGGCACGAGCCCCACGTGGCGGCGGGACATGCTGAGGCAGTGTGGGGACACGGGCCCCGGCACGACAACGGCACCATGCGACCCCAGCACCACTTGGGCCCTGGGGAACCTGCGCGTTGTTCCTGAACTCCACCCGCCCCCGCCTCGAGCCTCAGCTGGAGGGTTTCTGAGTGAAAACCCTGTCTTGGCTCCCCTCGTAGAATCCTTCAAGATTCAGTACCTGCAGTTCCTGGCGTACACGAAGACCCCTCAGTACAAGGCCAACCTGCAGCTGCTGCTGGACCAGGAGACGGTGAGCCGCACGCGGTGCTGCCAGACCCAGCTCCCCTTACCTACGGGCTCTGATGGCCCCGGGGCCGCAGCTGGCCGGGCCCTGCTGCCCCTTTTGAGGCGTCCTCGTCTGGGGACAGTGTGCCCTGCAGCCTCGGTGGCGGAGCTGGGGTGGGGGGCTGTGAGGTGCGGCCGCCCTCATGCAGGCCCGGTGCGGGCACCCCAGCTTTCCTGAGGGCGGGAAGCGTCAGGCTCTGTGGCTCCTGGTAACGTGGTGCTACGTTCCGGGGTGAGGCCCGGATGGGGGTCTGTCCAACCTCCTCACGGGTGCGTGTCTGCCGCCGTGTCCGCCAGGCGGGCTGCAAGTCGGGCGGGGTGCCCGTCCCGGGGGCCTCACGCTCATGGCCCTGCCCCGCAGGAGAAGAACGCCCGGTTGCTGGGCGCCGTGCAGCAGCTGTTCGGCCACTGCCAAGCTCAGAAGGAGGAGATCAAGAGGCTTTTCCAGCAGAAACTGGACGAGGTAGGCGCCCTGCCCTGGCCACCCTGAGGCCACGCAGACGGCCCTGGCGCGGGATGGAGGGCAGGCGGGGCCCAGGGCCCAGCCGGACATCTGGCCAAGATCCAGAGGGACTGGTGCCCTCCTGGTGCTCTTCACCTTGAGTCTTCCTGATGGAGAGACCCGGAGGTGGTCAGAGGGAGGCTTCCTGCCTCGTGATGCCCCTGGCCCCCTGTGAGAGCCCCCCTTTGCCATCGTTTGTCCTCAGCTGGGAGTGAAGGCGCTGACCTACAACGACCTGATCCAAGCGCAGAAGGAGATCTCGGCTCACAACCAGCAGCTGAGGGAGCAGACGGAGCAGCTGGAGAAGGGCAACCGGGAGCTGAGGAGCCAGAGCCTGCGGCTGGTGCGCTGGCGGGGCTGGCGGTCTGCCCGAGGCGGGGCCCCCCAGGCCGGGCCGGGTCTCGGGACGGAGAGATGACCGAGGGCAGCCCCCGAGTCTGCGGCAGTGGGTCCTGGCAGCCCCCCGCCCCCCGTCCCCGTCCTCCCTTAGGATCCTCGCGGGGCGTCCAGGGGCCTCCGACGCCTCACGGCTGCCCGCCCATCCCCACAGCTCAAGGCACGGTGCGAGGAGCTGAAGCTGGACTGGTCCACGCTGTCCCTTGAGGGCCTGCTGAAGGAGAAGCAGGCCCTGAAGAGCCAGATCTCGGAGAAGCAGAGGCACTGCCTGGAGCTGCAGGTAGGAAGCCTGTCGGAGGCGGGGGTGCTCCGGGCTTCAGCTGGGGCGCCAGGACCAGCGTCCTAGGCCCAGTCCCCGCCGCACCGCCTGGGCTTGCGAGCGCCTTGTTTCTGAGGCCGCCACTGGCGGCCCCCGCTTGCACCGTGAGAGCAGCTCATACTGACGAGGTGAGCAGAAGATGGTGCAGGAAGGAAGGACGGACAGATCAGCGCGCAAGTGCGGGCTTTCCGGAAGCCCGTCTGCAGGCCGAGGCCTCCCACCACTTTGCGTCTCCCCAGCGAGGTTTCGTGATTTACATGAAGCTTTCGCTGTTGCCCAGCCCTGGGGGCTCTTTCAGGGATGGGTTACTGCAGAATGGCACTGGAGTGAATTCCTCTGCACCGGAGGCTGCTCTGGAGGCTACGTCCCTAAAGACACGCGTCCCCCAAGTAGCCGTTGGAGCGGCTGTAGGTCCCGGGATACAGTGTTGCGCTGCCTCCTGTGGTGGCCCGGCCCTGCTGCCAGCCTGTGTGCAGGAGGAGTCTCAGGAGGCTGCACGCTGGGCCATCACGCTCCTGTGTCACCGAGAGGCGGCCCGAAGCTGTGGGCCCTTGATTCATTGTGGGGAGAGCCAAACGATGCCTCAGGCCCCAGCCCCCGGGGCCAATACCTTACCCTCGCGGTCACAGTGACAGCCACGGAGCCTGGGCCCCTCGCTTCCTCAGGCTGGTGCGTCTGCCCGTCACACTAGCCAGCCCATGTCCCTCTAGCCGGCCCACGTCCCTGTCGCTCTTGCAGGACCGTCCCTGCCAGTGAGGTGCTGGGCATGGGGCCTCTCAGGCCTGACGCCTCCTCTCGTCCCCCAGATCAGCATTGTGGAGCTGGAGAAGAGCCAGAGGCAGCAGGAGCTCCTGCAGCTCAAGTCCTGCGTGCCGCCCGACGACGCCCTGTCCCTGCACCTGCGCGGGAAGGGTGGCCTGGGCCGAGAGCCGGAGGCCGAGCCCGGCCGGCCACATCTGGAGCTGGACTGCGCCAGGTTCTCCCTGCCCCACTTGAGCAACATGAGCCCGGAGCTGTCCATGAATGGCCACGCGGCCGGCTATGAGCTCTGCGGTGCGCTGAGCCGGCCCTCGCCCAAGCAGAACACCCCCCAGTACCTGGCCTCCCCCCTGGACCAGGAGGTCGTGCCCTGCACCCCGAACCACAGTGGCCGGCCGAGGCTCGAGAAGTTGTCCGGCCTGGCCCTGCCCGACTACACCAGGCTCTCCCCGGCCAAGCTGGTGCTGCGGCGCCACCTGAGCCAGGACCACACAGCCAACAGCAGGGCGACCGCCAGCGAGCTGCACTCACGGTGAGCTCGTGGTGGGGGGCCTTCTGAGCGGGGGATCGTCAGTTTGGAAGAGAATCTTGGGGGTTGTTAGGCCCAGGCGGCCAGCTCTGAACGCAAAATTGTGGCTCTGAGGGCTCCCCAGAAAATGACCAAGGACACGTCTCGTTTCCAGAGCTGAGCATGCCAAGGAGAACGGCCTCCCGTACCAGAGCCCTGGCATCGCCAACGGCATCAAACTGAGCCCACAGGACCCTCGGCCCTCGTCCCCTGCGGCCTTGCAGATGACGGGAGAGAAGGGCAGTGAGAAGGTGAGGCCACCGCTCTTGTGAAAGTGCCCACGCGTGGGGTGGAGTGGGGCTGAGAGGGAAGGTGGGAGGCTGCCTGGCCGCGCCCTAACCCTGGGGTGAGGCTGGAAGAGTGGGATTGTCTCTGGGGAAAGGAGAGGCCGGGTTGAGCAGCAGGGGAAGGGAAAAGCCTGTTGCACTCCTGTGATGGGGTGTGTGCTGGGGTGATGGGTGGGGGCCCTGGCAGGTCTGGAGGATCGCTTTGGGGTGGGGGTGACCTGTCACTGGTTGGAGGGCTGCTGTGTCCCTCGGGGCGGTGCTCAAGGCCCAGTTTCCTGGTCAGCGGGAGCAGGCTGGCCCGGTGGTGTGTCTGCAGGGTTTGAAGGAGCGCACCTACGCCAGCAGTGGGGAGGCCATCACCAGCCTGCCCGTCAGCATCCCGCTCAGCACCGTGCAGCCTAGCAAGCTGCCAGTCAGCATCCCTCTGGCCAGCGTGGTGCTGCCCAGCCGCGCCGAGAAGGTGGTGAGTGAGGCCCTCGGCCTGGAAGCCTGGCGTCCCCAGGCACCGTGTGTAGGCGCCAGGAGAGCCGGTGCTCTTGTTCTTTCCCCTCGAGGCCCAGAGCCTTCTTGTTCAATTGCACGTGGTTAAGTTCGGAGCTTACCGTGATGCCCGAGAAAAACAGAATGTCTGATGTCCACATTTAATTCCAGTAACATTTTGCCACTTTTACTTTAGATCCTTTTAGTAAAAGGTGACGTGTGCAAACGGAGAGGGACTAAAACTTCCAGATTCTGTAGAAACTTCTCCCTTTCCTTCTAGTTCACATGTGCATTCAGCCTCACACGCATGGACTTGGAAATGACACTCTCCTGTGGAGTGGGCTGTTCGTGTTTATGGAGATGTCACTCACACACAACTCACCCACCTAAGGTGTTCGGTGCAGTGGGTTTTAGTACATTCACCAGTCGTGCAGCCATCTCTAGTTCCAGAACATTCCATACCCCCAAAAGGAAGCCCATCCCCACCAGCAGTCACCCCCATCCCCTCCCCAGCCCCTGACAACCAGGAGCGTATTGTCTGTCTCTGTGGATCTGCCTGTTCTGGATGTTTCCTGTCAGTGGAATCACAGACTGTGGGTCCTTCTAGGTCTGGCTTCTCTCACTGAGCATCGTGTTCTCAGGGTCCGTCCACGTGGTAGCGAGTGTCAGGGCTTCTCTCCTTTTCGTGGCTGAGAGATGTTCCACCATACAGACGGACCACATTGTGTGCATCCGTCACCTGTTGGTGGTCATCTGGGGTGTTTCCACTTTGGGGCTGTTGTGAATTGTGCTGCTGAGGACATGCGTGTGCGGGTTTTGTGTGGGTACTTGCTGTTGTCTGGCTCCATGTAGGAGTGGAGTTGCTGGGTCAGATCATAACGGCTGCCCTCACTGCTCTCCCTGCCCATTTATCCCTGGCCCAATGCTTGCCTGTTAGCCAGGGCCATCCCTTAGAACCGAGGTCAGACACCTGTGCCTCACCTCGTGAGAACCTTCCCGTGGCTGCCCACCAGGCTCACACCCTGAGCGGCCACTTGCCCTTCCGTGCTCGTGGCCTCGGGCCCTTGGCACGTCCTGTGGCGTGTGGCCGGATCAGCTGAGAACCTGCATTTTCTCTCCGCAGAGAAGCACCCCCAGCCCCGTGCCGCAGGCCCGAGAGTCCTCGTCCACACTGGAGAAGCAGATGGGTGCTGGCACCCACGGCTCCGGGTGCAGCACTGCTGGGAGCAGAAGCCTCGCCCTGGCCCCTGCAGGTAAGGGCTCCCTCGCGTGCGAGGACCCAGAGGTGCTGGGTGGGCTCAGCACGTCAGCTGCACAGCATGGCCCGGGGCTCGGGGGCTCCGAGCTGGGCTGTCCCGCTCTGCTCATCTCAGCTGGCTGTGTTCGGCCTGGGCCCATGCCGGTCCTCTGGGCGGTGGCATCCTCATCCAACCGCGTTCCAGCCGGTTCTGCTCCTCCTCAGAGAGCTTCGAGTGAGGCTTCTGGGCGGGGCCCTGCGACCTAGAGGGTGCCTGTCGCCACTGCCCAGCCATGGGTCCCGTCGGGGGCAGCGGGCATGTGTGGTCAGGTTGCTTGCCTGTGTCCACACGGCCTGATCTACGCCTGTTCTTCTGGGGATAAAGAACACAGTGAGGAGGCTGCTGTTGGGACGGGCGTCCCGCCTCTGGCGCTGCTGCTCTCGCGTGGGGAGGGCGTCACCGCTGGTGGTGCCCGGGGTCCACCGGCTTGTACGTGAGCTCCAGGGCCCAACCGTCCCAGGCCCAGAAGTGGGAAGAGCACACAAGTGACGGCCCAGGGGCCCCCACTTGTCCTCACCCGAACCTGGTTCCGTGGTGCCGTCTCAAGGTGCTGGGCACTGAGCATGCGGAGAGCTGAGCTTCCTTGCGCTCCGCCGGGTTCGGCCCGGTGGGCATCCTTTCCCGGACGAGCTCCCCTGAGAAAGCGTGTCCTTCCTACAGGCTTTGCCTACGCCGGCTCAGTGGCCATCAGTGGGGCCCTGGCAGGCAGCCCGGCACCACTCGTCTCTGGAGCCGAGCCCCCCGCCCTGGACGAGTCCTCCAGCTCTGGAAGCCTCTTTGCCACTGTGGGGTCCCGCAGCTCCACTCCTCAGCACCCCCCCCTGCTGGCGCAGCCCCGCAACTGCGGCTCGGCCTCGCCCGCCCCCCAGCTCTGCGCCAGTCCCCGGCTTGGTGCCCAGGGCCCGCTCCCCGACACCAGCAAAGGAGACCTGCCCTCTGAGGCCGGCTTCTCGGATCCCGAGAGTGAAGCCAAGAGAAGGATCGTCTTCACCATCTCGGCCGGCTCTAGCAGCGCCAAGCAGTCACCTTCCAGCAAGCACAGCCCTCTGTCCTCGGGCGCCCGCGGTGACGGCGGCCAGAGCCACGGGCAGGACAGCCGCAAGAGGGGCAGGAGGAAGCGGGCAGCGGCGGGGACCCCCGGCTTCAGCTCGGGCGTGTCCCCCAAGCGCCGGGCCCTGCCGTCTGTCGCCGGCCTCTTCACCCAGTCTTCAGGGTCCCCCCTGAACCTCAACTCCATGGTGAGGCTGGGAGTGGCGTTGGGGGCGGTAGGTCCAGGGCGCTCCAGGGGCCTGCTGACGGGCTTGTGCGTCTGACCCCTCAGGTCAGCAACATCAACCAGCCCTTGGAAATCACGGCCATCTCGTCCCCCGAGAGCTCCCTGAAGAGCTCGCCTGTCCCTTACCAGGACAATGACCAGCCGCCCGTGCTCAAGAAGGAGAAGCCCCTGAGCCAGACCAACGGGGCCCACTATTCCCCACTGACCTCGGATGAGGAGCAGGGCTCTGAGGACGAGCCCAGCAGTGCCAGGCGAGTGGGGCCGACGGGGCAGGTCCTTGTGGCCAGGACGCGGGGCAGGCAGCTTCCCACCTGCTGCTGGGTGGTGGGCACAGGGTCCCGACCTCACTTGGGGCACTTCCTGGAGCAGACAGGCCCCTTCCTGGATTGTTCACTTTAACTGTGTAAGAAACAGCCCGTGAAGGGCCCAGGCATCTGAGAGCCTCTCGCCACGTGCGTGTGGGGCAGGGCTGACCCCTGAGTCTGTAGCTCCCGGGGCGGCGGCGCGAGGCGGGTGTTTCTTGGTGGCAGAGAGAAGGGGAGGGCGGCCGCCACAGCGCAGAGCCAAGAGGCAGGCGTGCAGGCTCCCATCAGTGCCTGGTGTCCACTCAGCTGACGGTGAAGAGTGCTTTCTTCCTGGATAACAGCTTTATTAGGTATAATTCACATACCACACCGCCCGCTTGAAACGTGCGACCCAGTGGTCTTTGACGTATTCGTGGGGTTGTGCAGGCATCACCGCTGTCGGTTTTAGAACATTTTCATCACCACAGAAAGAATCCCTGTACCCTTAAACACTTGACTCCTCAGCCCCTCCCCCAGTCCCTGGCCCCCACAATCTATTTCCTGTCTCTGTGGATCTGACTCCTCTAGGGACCCCGTGAGTGGGATCAGGCAGCGTGTGTCCTTCTGTGTCTGGTTTATTTTCACTGAGCGTCCTATCCTCAGGTTCATCCGTGGTGTAGCAGGTGTCAGAACCTCCTTCCTTTCTGTGTGTATATGTCACGTTTTGTTTATCCACCGTGTGTCCGTGGACGCTTGGGTTGCTTCGTTTTCAGCTGTTGTGAATCGTGCTGCTATGAACGTCCCTATACTACATGTGTTTTTACTTGAAAATGTGTTTGCAATTTACCCAGTACTTAGGCGTGGAATTGCTGGATCTCGTGTGGTGAGTCTGGGTTTAACGTTTTGAGGAACCACCAGACGTTTCCACGGCAGCTGCCCCATCTCACATTGCTGCCAAGCATGCACAAGGGTGCCAGTTTCTCCACATCCTCACCGGCACTTGTTATTTTCTGGGTTTGTTTTTAGTACGGTAGCTATTTCTGTGAGGGTGTGGTGGTGTCGCCGTGGTTTTGACCTCATCGCCCTCGCGGTCGACGACACTCAGCATCATCTGTTCCTCAGACAGACGTCTGTTCAGGTCCCGGCCCCTCTCTTGGGTCGGGTTGTCTTGTGCTGCGTTGTTATGTCGTGAGAGTTCTTTAGACGTCTACGTACCGCATCCCTTGTCAGGTACGGGATCTGCAGCTGTGTTCTCCCGTCCTGTGGGTGGTGTGTTCACTCCATTGCTGGTGTCCTTTGAGGCATAAGAGTATTCAGTGTTGACGAGACCCCGTGTGTTGTGTATCTGTGTTTTCTTTATTATTACTATTTTTCTTTAAAATTAATTAATTTATTTTTGGCTGCGTTGGGTCTCTGTTGCTGCGTGAGGGCTTTCTCTAGTTGCGGCGAGCGGGGGCTACTCTTCGTTGAGGTGCACGGGCTTCTCATTGCAGTGGCTTCTCCTGTTGCGGAGCAGGTCTCTAGGCGCGCGGGCTTCAGTAGTTGTGACATGCAGACTCACTAGTTGTGGCACACGGGCTTAGCTGTTCCACGGCCTGTGGGATCTTCCCGGACCAGGCTCAAACCTGTGTCCCCTGCATCGGCAGGCGGATTCTTATCCACTGCGCCACCACGGAAGTCCCTTTCTTTAATTTCATTTAATTCTTAATTTATTTATTTTGGTCGCTCCGGGTCTTAGTTGTGGCATGTTTAGTTGCGGCATGTGGGATCTTTAGTTGCGGCATGCAGACTCTTAGTTGCGGCATGCATGTGGGATCGAGTTCCCCCACCAGGGATCGAACCCGGGCCCCCTGCACTAGGGGCACGGAGTCTTACCTGCTGGACCGCCGGGGACGTCCCTGTGTTTTCTTTAGTTGCCTGTGTTTTCGGTGTCTTGTTGAGTTACCCTTCCACATACGAAAAGTACGTTGTGCAAGTTCTGGATTCTTTGGCGAGTTCTGTGTCTCTGGAGGTCATAGTTCTTCGGGACGGTCCACAAAAATCCTGACATGTGAAGCACACACTGCTGTGTACTTCGGTGCAGCTACGGGTACAGCTTGCTGGGGAGTTAACGTGCTAGGTGCTGCGCATCTGCCTCTGTGGACGACGCGGTCTCCTAGAGCTTGAGAGCACGTTAAGCATGGAGACAGTTCTGTCTGGGACTCGCGGCTGTCTCTGCGTGTTGGGAAACGGCATCCCTGCTCCTCCGCCGGGGCCCGGCTCTCAGCTGTGTCCTGCACCACAGCCGTCATCGTGCTGGCACAGGTGCCACCGCACAGGCATGGGGGCGCCCGGGGGCCCTGACGGCGGGTCATGCATTGCCGGCTTACCGACCCCGCTGGGCAATTCGGTGTAAACGTATAGCGCTCTGGTGTGCCCGTGGATTGCAAACATTTATCATCTTTTTTTTCCTAATAGAATTGAGAGAAAAATTGCAACCATCTCCTTAGAAAGCAAATCTCCTCCGAAAACCTTGGAAAATGGTGAGTTCGGTGCTCCCGATGCCTGACTCCTTGGTGCCCGGCCTCTGAGGAGCCACACGGGGCTTCCAGAGTGGTCCCTGGGTGGTGTGGGTGCCGCCCGGCCTCCTGGCCCCTTTCCCTGTGGACATGGCGGGCGCTCTAGGTGCTGCCTGGGTAGATCGGGCACGTGTGGTGCTCTGTGCTGACACGCCGGCCCTCCCGCACAAGCAGCCCTGCTCCCTGAGTTTCTCCCACGGCCCCACCCTCGCCAGGTCTGCCCCGTCCTCCACCATGGGGGCTTGTCTTGGGGGCGGGGGTCATTCCGAGCCGGCGGTGGTCTGGTCCCCGCAGCTTCCGCTCTGCCCCACCCAGCCCAGGCCTCATAGCCGCTGCCTCTCCTGGCAGGGGGCGGCCTGGCGGGAAGGAAGGTGCCGGCCAGCGAGCCGGTCAACAGCAGCAAGTGGAAGTCCACCTTCTCGCCCATCTCCGACCTCGGCCTGGCCAAGGCAGCCGACAGCCCGCTGCAGGCCGCCTCCGCTCTGAGCCACAACTCCCTGTTCGCTTTCCGGCCCGGCCTGGAGGAACCTGGCGCGGCTGATGCCAAGCTGGCTGCCCACCCCAGGAAGAGCTTCCCAGGCGCGCTGCCGGGGGCGGGCGGGCTGAGCCCCAGCAGCCATCCCGCCAGCAGCTTCGCCCTGGGCGGGGGCCTGGCGGCCGACCTCAGTTTACACAGCTTCAGCGATGGTGCTTCTCTCTCCCACAAGGCCCCCGAGGCGGCCGGCCTGGGCACCCCCCTGAGCTTTCCCGGCCCGCGGGGCAAGGAGGGCGGCGCCGCAGACCCCGGCCCCTTCGTGAACAAGAGGCAGCTGGACGGACTGGCCCCGAAGGGCGAGGGGGGCCCACCTGTGTGCGGGCCCGCGGACAAGGCCTCAGCGACGCACGGCAAGGCGGGCAAGGGCCGTGACCGCGAGCCCGATGTCAAGAACGGCCACAACCTCTTCATGGCCGCTGCTGCTGCTGCCGCCGCCGCCGCTGCCGCCCCCCCCGGGGGCCTCCTCAGCGGCCCGGGCCTTGCCCCGGCGGCATCCTCGGCAGGGGGCACGGCCCCGTCCGCCCAGACCCACCGCCCCTTCCTGGGCGCCTTCGTCCCCGGCCCGCAGTTCGCACTGGGCCCCATGTCCCTGCAGGCCAACCTGGGCCCGTCCGTGCTGCAGTCCCTGTTCAGCTCCGTGCCCGCCGCCGGCCTGGTGCACGTCTCAACCGCTGCCACCAGACTGACCAACTCGCACGCCATGGGCAGCTTCTCCTCCGGGGTGGCCGGCGGTGCAGTCGGAGGTAGGCAGCGCCCTCTGGCCGTGCGGGACCCGCTGGGGGATGGGCCGCGGGCCGCATGCTCTCACCGGCGCCCTCCGGGACCGCTGGGTTTAACCACCGCTGTTTGCAGGTTCCCTTCCAGGGCCCCCTGAGGGGGGAGAGGCTGTGCCCGCGTATCCCCTTGGGTCCACTTTGCACCCGTCACCTCGTTCCTTTTCGCGAAACGCAGACGTGACTGTCGTGTGGGCAGAGCGCTCAGGCGTGAGTCGGCCTGTGCCACGCTCTCTGGTCTGACGGCGTCCCTCTCGCTCTCAGGGGAGCTGGCGCCAGACGGAGCTCTCTCCTTCCTCCCCGCGGAGGTCACCTGTCAGGCCTGACGCAGCCCGGGCTCTGGGCAGCCTTGGGGCCGGCGCTGGGGAAGAGCCAAGGGCCGCGGCGCCCGCCAGATGCACCGTGGCGCGTGCGGGGTGGAGAGGAGCGCAGGGAGCCACAGCCGGCCCCTCACCGGGCACGGGCGCCGGGGCTGGGGAGGGGAGGGGAGGGGAGGGGAGCCGTCCTGCAGGTCATCCCAGCGCCTGCGCTCCCGCTGCCTGCGCTTCACCCTCACCTGTGCCGCTCGCACGCGGAGCTGGAGCTGCAGCCGCCGTCGGCTTCCCCTTCTCCGCGCGCCTTCCTTGGCTTGGCTGGCGATGCCCGCCTGTTGAAGCTGGGTTTTTCTCTCCTGTTTGCAGGTGCCTTTAACCACGCGGTGCCTCCCGCCTCCGCTCATCCGTTTGGAGCCCGTTTCGGCAGTGGGGCTGCATGTCGCAGCGCCACGCTGAGCCTAACCCCGCTGCAGGCGGTGGCCAGCACCCCGGCCTCTTCCTTTCAGGCCCCGCCCCCTGCGGAGCCGAGGCCGCCCCCGCCCCCTCCGCACCTGGGCCGGCCCCCTCCGGGGCCGCCCGCCCTCCACGCCCCGCCCCCTCCTAACGCCGCCTTGCCTCCTCCCCCCGCGCTGCTCCCGGCTAACTCTGAGCCCGTGCTCCTGCAGAACCTCGCGTCCCTCCCAGCTAACCAAGCTTTCTTACCTGCCTCCTCTGCTGCCTCTGTGCCGCCTGCTAACGCCTCTCTGTCCATCAAGCTCGCCTCACTTCCGCACAAGGTGTCCCGCCCCTCCTTCACGGTGCACCACCCGCCCCTGCCCGGGCTGGCCCTGGCCCAGGCCGCGCCCGTGATCCCGCAGGCCAGCTCCACGGGGCCGCCCGCCGTGTGGGTTTCCCTTGGCATGCCACCTCCGTATGCCGCGCGCCTTGCGGGGGTTAAGCCGCGATAAAGACCTTGCTTAGCTAGCAGTTCGTATTCTGTAAGGTAAGGCTAGAGCTCGACCAGGCGGCCCATACGAGAACCTGAACTGACCTTCCTTTGCAGAGAGCAGGCGGGCCCGCGGGTCTCCGTGGAGGGGCCCGGGGGCCAAGGTTGCTCTCCTGCGGCCGGGAGGTGCGAAGGCGAAGAGCCAGGGAGGCACGGGAACCCGGGCGGCGAGAGCAGAGAGAGGGAGGGTGTGGCTGGCCCCGCCCCCTCCGCCGCTGCCGGTGGACCCTCCCCCCCAGGTCGCCCAGGGAGGGGGCCAGGAGGAGTCAGTCAGTCAGGGCTGGCGTCCTGGCCGGGTGGAGCCTAGCTCGAGCTTGCCGCCGCCCTAGGCTTGTAGTCTGCAGCAGCCCGGGACCTGGGCAGCCCCGGCGTGGGGTCATGGGGGCAGCTCAGGATCCCAGCTTTGCCTTGTGTGCGCTCTTGGGCCCCTCAGCCCTTTTCCATAAACGCGCCTTATGAGGGTTTGGGGAGAGCTCAACGCGTTTAAGGCCCCGGGTACACGGCAGGCCTTCAGGACGTGGCGGTCGCGTTTGTTGGGCTCCTTAGCTAGAGGGCCTGCCTGTAGGGGTCGATGGGCAGCAGGGTGAGTGTGGCGCCAGCCCCACAGGCAGGAACGCCGGGCCGGTGGCGGGGCTCTGTAGTTGTGGCCGAGGCCCGGCTCCTCCGGCCTCCGAGGCGCACGGCCTGCCTTTCAGACCGTCTGTGTGGGGGTTAGCGGAGACAAGCGTAGGAAGGGCCCGTTTTCGGGAGCTGGAGGGGGCAGGTGTCTGCGAGGCCTCCAGGGAGGGTCCTGGGCCCCGGTGCAGCTGGCCTGGCCACTGCTGGTGCCATGTCCACATCCCCCTGGGGCCAGGACTGGAGCGGGGGTCCTGCCTGCCGTCCTTGGCTGTCTGTCGTGTTTTTAAGTGGAAACAGATGGGAGGCCGCTGGAGTCTGACGGCCTCCTGGTCAGGGTGCAGGTCAGTGGACAGCCCTACCCGAGGCCTGGGGATGGGCTGTGCCTCGGTTGTTGGAAAAGCCCAGAAGGTAGGGCGGCTCAGCCTGCAGTGGCCTCGCGCCGTCAGAGGAGCTTGGAGAGGGCAGACGTGCACTGGGAGGTCGGGGACCAGGCCCACAGTGGACACTGCCTGCCTGCCTGCCGTCCTGGCCGCGCCGGCCTCACTCCTGGGGCATGCAGGCTTGTCCTGGAGCGCTGCCCGGCGTGGGGACCGGGGAGGGTCTCCTGGGGAGGAGGGGAGGCCAGGACCCAGCCAGCGCCCCACACGCACTGGAAGGGCCTGGGGACAGGACCTCCTGCCTCTGACAGGGCCCAGAGGCGTGGCTCAGGGTGCTGCCACCACCTCATCTGCCGTCTGTCGTCCGTCCGTCCGTCCGTAGGTGGCTCTGGCGCCCTGGCCTGGGGGTGCGACGGGCTCGTCTGGGCGCGAGGCTAACGCTATGCTGCCTTTCCTCCCGCGCCGTGTCCGCAGGTAACTAGGATTTCTACCTCAACCGCGAGACTATGCAAGGATGGGGCGGGCTGCCGGCGCGGGGCCCCCCGCAGGACGGCGAGGACGGATGGAGGCCAGAGGACAGGCTCTACTGTGAATCAGCGCCGCGCAGAGCTGCGGAGACGGCGCGCTGGGGCCTGGCTCCAGCCTGTACTGTCGATAGTCTTAGATAAAGTATTTATCGTTTTTTAAAAAGTATAAATAATTTTGACTTATTTTATTCCACCGAAGTCGTGAAGGCAACCTATCGAGAGATGTAGATACTATATTATATGAGAGAATATATGTAAAGACATCGCCGAAGGACCGGCCCACCGCGGAGACGCTGGCAGCCGGCCCGGTGCTATCTCGTCGCCAGGCTCGCGCCTCCACGTGCTCTTGGTGCTGACTCTCGAGGTTGACCACGCCAACGCCAGGCCCTAGCGCCTGGCGTGTTCATTCCCGCCGCTCTTCCCATACCAAAGGCGGCGTCTCCGGTGGAGGCCCGCCCCGCCCCGCCATCACTGTGAACGGCCTCGGCTCAGCCCTCGGGATGGCGCCTTTGGCATCGGAACGGCAGTCCTGCGCGGCAAGGCTGCGGTGGCGGAGCCTCGAGGAGGGGACCCGTTCTCAGTGGTGCTTGTGAGGAGGGTCTGGTACCCGACTCTGCTGCCTGCCTGGCTGGCTCACTCGTGTGACAGGCGCATTTACTTTGTACGTCTCCGCTCGCCCTGGGCTCATGCCGCAGCCCCCCCCCGCTGCAGGGTCGGCTCCTGTGGTGGCCGGGGACGCAGGCGGGTTAGTTGTGGGTGCCTGCTTTGTCTACAAGGGAGTCACGCTGACAGGTGACAGTATTTTATAGAGAAGTGATGAAAATTTATAAATTTCATAGACGGACTTCATTTATTTTTAGACTGTATGACGAATACACAGTAAACTAAAGAGAAAAGGAAGAAACGAAAGTGAGGGGAAACCCTCCCGCCTGTTCAAGTGCACAGCAGCACTGGCCCAGGGCCCTCCTGCCCACCCTGCTGGGGTGACACCTGCTCCACCCGAGCGGCCACCGTGGTGCTTGGGAAGGGATGCGCTGGGGGTGGCCGGGCAGGAGGGCTGCTCCCTGAGGCTCCGAGGTGGCCGGTAGGGTTCTCGGTCCCTCGAGCACAGCACCTGTGACCGGTCCTGGGTCCCTGGGTGGGGCAATGTTGTCTGTGTGCCTCCCGAGAAGTTCTCGGTCCCCCGAAAGGGCCAACATCGGCCAAAGGTGGGCGCCCCAGCGAGGGCTGAGTATGGGCAGTCGGAGCCCCATCCTCAGGTGTCTGCCACCCAGGCGGCACCCGTCAAGGAGCGCGGGAGGGTGGGCCTCTGTGTGGTGGCCTAACGTGAGCCTTCCCCGGCCTGGCCGACTCCACGTACCCTTCAGAGGTGGACGCCACGGGTCCTCTGCCTGCCCTTGAGTGGGGTCAGTGTGGTGGCCGAGGCCCAGCCCCGCTTCCTGACCCCCGGGACGCAGGCCACAAGGGTCAGAGAGGGCCAGTGCGCTGCCTGCAGCCACCTCTACACTGTGTGGGGCAGCAATCAGGCTAGAGACGGAGCCTTCCTCCTGTGACCGCCCGCCCTGCCCCCCTTCCCCCCAGGTCGGTGCTCCCAGTGCACGACGGTGCTGTCCTGACCCCCGGCCCCCGGCCTCTCCAAGAGGCTCCCCTCCCCGTGTCAGGAACACAGGGCTCCCGAGAAAGCTACGGCGCTGCCAGCGGAGCCCCCATCTGAACAAAGGACACTGTACACAAACACTGCGTCACTTCGGGAGGACCACCGCGCCGCGTCTGTCCTCTGCACGCACGCGCAAGCACCAGGGGACGGACGACCCGCGCAGGGCCTGCCCCACAGCGGGGCCCAGCTCGGCCTCTCCACACCCACCCTCCGGTCCCAGCCTGAGCGCCGCCGCTGACGCCAGCCACGGGAGTAGGGCGCCGGCTGGCGTGCGTGGGGAGCGGCCCTGCGGGAGCCCCACCGCTGCTGCCGATGCGGGTGCTCCAGGTCTGACGGCTGCTGTCGCTTTGCTCAGGAAAACCTAACAACTAGGACAGCCTCCAGTCAGGGGATGTGTTCTCTGTTCAGCTATGAATCGTGACCTATTTAAGAACCACCACCCCCACCCCCCCGACTGCCCTTATTTATCCTGCCAGCCGGCCCGTCTACAGTTAGGACTGTTTGTTCTCATTTACACATCCATCCACGCTGGCTCACGCATCCCTGCCTTGGTTTGTAACGGAGACGGGCTTTGCTTTCTTGTTCTGGTAGCCTATGTTTCAGTTGGGGCGCTGGCTCCACCCCCTCTTCCCAAGGGAACCCCACTGCACTGCGTTTCCACCTCTAGACGCTGTAATAAAATACCTGTTTTCACTTGAACCTGGTCTGGTGGCAGTGTTTCTTCCCGACCGTGACACGGCAAGGTCTTGGAGCGCAAAGAGGGTCCCGGGCCGTGATAGCCATCCCCAGCTGGGGAGGACGGTCACTCCCAGCAGAAGCCCCACCTGCTCCGGAAGGCAGGCCCTGTGACCACAGCAGACAGTGAGCCCCACCTCAGGGAGGCCCAGCCCCTCCTTCAGGGCCAACACCTGACTAGGTCAGGCCCACCCAGGGTGGGCCTCCTCCTTGACTAACTGAAACTGACTGCTTGGGTACTTTTCACAACACCAACAAAACCATTCCCGAAGTCCCGCCTGCACTTGGACGGAGGCCTGTGAGCCCCAGAGGCCCTGTGGGCTGGGCCCCAGCCTCCCTACCTTTCCTGGCTCTGGGTTCTAGGCCTCCTCTCCTCTGTTCCTACTGGGCACTTAAACCTTGAACCTGGGCAGGGCTTCACTTCCCTTAGGACCCCGCTGTGACTCTGCGGGACCGGCAGCCTGCGGAGGACAGAGGTCCCTCACTGCATTCACTGCACCGCCGTCCCGTGTGAAAAAGAGGTACCTTTATTTGAACAGCAAAACTGGCCACCTGAAAGGCGCACCTTCCAGCTCTGCCCAGAGGCGTCCGGCCGGGGCCTGCCCCTTCAGCAGGAGAATTCACAGCAGCCCCAGCATGGGCCCACGCCCTTCACAGCATCACCTAATGTTGTACATTCAGCCTGCACGGGGCAGGAGAGTTGCACCAGCCTCAGGCACCTGCCAGGCCTGGATGGACGCACCCAAGGGGCTGGGCACAGCTCCTGGGAGGGGACACCTGTCCCCTGGCAGCAGCATGTGGCACTGAGGTGCCAAACCAGTCCAGTGGGTCCCAGAGCATCCAGAAGGGGCTTGCTGGGTTGTTTCTTCAAAAAGGCAGCCCCTGTGGGTCCTGGGGCTTTTAAAATCTGTAAACCAAGACACCTCCCACGACAAATCCAGGCTTGGCCAAGAAACCGGGGACCCAGGGAGGGTTCATCCAGCCCCCAGCAGGAAAGCTGAGGAGCCCCACACCCAGACTCATGCCTTCAGGCCGCTCAGCTGGAACCTGGCCTCCTCCGATATGCCGAACTGCTCCAGGGGATCCTGTGTGGGTGGATGATGGCGGGGGTGGGGTGGGGGGACGGCATGAGCCTAGGCCCAGAAGACCCCCAACTCCCACCCCTGCACCCACGCGCACCTTGCCAGTCATCTTCTGGATCTCATTCCGGTAGAAGATGAGGCTCCTCCGCATGAACTCGTAACTAGGGAGGAGGGCGGTGTGAGTCCACAGGGCCTGCCCCGCCCCTGCCCCAGGCCCTCAAGGCGGCCGCACCCCACCTGGCTCGATGCACCCCACCTGGCTCGACGCAGAGCAGCCATCCACTCTTGACACTGCTCCTCACTGCAACACTCAAAGTGATACTTTCTCTCTGGGTCCTCTAGAAAGCCTGCGGAAGGAGTAGCCCCCATCTGTCCCCGCTCGCTCCCACCTCCCCCCCACCCAGCCCTCAACTTCCTCTTGCCATTGTCCACGACTGTCCCCTTTCCAGCCCCAGCCTGCCTGGGCCCACTGCTTCCCACCAGCTGGGCGTCGGTTGAACTGTGTCCCCCAAAAGATGTATGTTCGAGTCTTAAAAAACATGAGACATTTCCCAGGACTATGAATCTATCCGGATGTGAAATCACCGTAGGTCTAAGTAGTTACAAGCAGTTGAGCTAAAGTCACGCTGCACTAAGGTGAGTCTCTAATCCAACAGGACTGGTGTTCTTAAGAAAAGTGAAACCTGGACACGACCACACAAGGGAGAAGATCCCATGAAAAGGAAGGCAGAGATGGAGTGAAAACGGTCGCCAGCGACCCCCCCAGAAGCCGGGAGAGAGATCATGGGGGCAGATTCTCCTTCAGAAGGAACCAGCCATGCCAACACTCTTTATGTCACACTTCTTGCCCCCCAGAACCGGGAGAAATAAATTTCTGCTGTTTAAGCCCCCTAGTCTGTGGCACTCTTGCAGCCTCCCCAGAGGACTAGTTAGTAGCTCCGTCTTCGCCTGCAGACCCCACCCTCTCAAGACGACCCAGGAGAATCCTCCCAGTCCCCCAGCACAGGGCCCTGATCCCAGGAGAAATGAAACAATTACAGCGAGGCATCCACCCCGAGAGGGCAGCGCTCCCCAACAAGACAAGGGCGGCCTCTGGGGTAGTGCGCTCGGCCTGGGCCCCCACCCAGAGGAGCCAGCGCGAGTGGGGCTGCCCGGGACACTGGACTCAGCTTCTGGGGACTCAGGCGGGGCCGCGCCGGGGTGGAGCGGGGCGGGACGGGGTCAAGTAGCCTCGCCCCAGGCCGCACTCACTGATGGAGAAGCCGCTGGGCTCTTCCTGAGTGACTCTGCAGTGCTCCAGCAGCAGGGCTCCGACGGGCTAGGGGCAGACAGGGGCATGGGGGCGGGCACCTGGAACCTGCCCCCGCCCCGCCCCCGACCCCCCACCCCCCCCTCCCCCCGCGCCCCCCCCCCCCCCCGGCCCCCGACCCCGACCCCAACCCCAAACCCCGCCCCCGCCCTACCCGCCGCCTTACCTCCGCCTCGTCCGTCCGGAAGTAGAAGAGGAAGTTGACCACCAGCTTCACCAGCCGCCGTTTCACCACTGCGGGAACAAGGCGGGCTCGCGCGGGTTCCGCGGCTGCCCACCCCCGCCCCCCGGCCGCCCGGCCGCTCACCGCTGCCCTTCTTGGGGCCCCGCATGCCCAGCTCAGCTGCCATCTCGGCCGGCTGCCGGGACAGCGCCTGCAGCTCCTTCTCGTTATAGCGCATGGCGCCGCTGGGACCCAGAACGCGGAGCGCTGGGCCGCGCCCTCCGGGCCGCCGTCCTCACTCGCGCCGCTGCCGGCGCCAAAAGAGTCCCACGGCGTCGTCCCGGAAGCGCGGCCGGAGCTACCACGCCTGCGCGCTCCCGGGCCGCTCAGCCTGTCCTTACACCGGCGAGTGGCAGAAGCGTCCCGGGGGCCGCCGGGGCCGAGTAGAGCCCTCGTGGGGCGCACAGAGCAGTAGGCAAGATGGACGGTTGTCATGTAACCAGGCAACAAGGTGGACCCGGGGTGGAAACGATAAAGCACCCCCACGACCTGTAGCGCCCAGTACTCAAGAAAACAGGCGGACGGGAGTGGGAGACGAGAAGCAACTCGCTATCCCGCGAGAACTGGCTCCGCGCGAGTTTGGCCGACCATGACAGTGAGAGCCGGTGCGCACGCGCGCTTCGGCTTCCGGCCTGCACTCCTGCTGCCCGCTGTCCTCCAGCCTCCGAAGCGTCTAGCCCGCGCCGCTGGGCGGGTCGGGCATGCGCACACGGAAGACCCCGCCCCGCTTGCCCTCGGAAGTGCTTCCTTAGCCCGCGGCGCGCATGTGCAGAACGAAGTCGGCGTGGCGGCAGAGGTGGTGGCCGAATAGGCGACGGCGGTGCGGCCGCGGGTGAGAGTTAAGAGCCGCGGGGGGCTAGGGCGGCGACCGCGAGGGGCTCCCTGGAGGGGAGTGGGCGAGGGGCGCCTCGGCAGGGGCGCGGGCTGGGGGCGGGCGCCGGCTCCCCGCCCGCGCCCGGCGCTGGGCAGGCCCGACCCCCCACAACCCCGCCCGCTAGGAGCTCCGGCTGCAAAGGCCCATTGGGTCGGGTTGGGTCAGGTCGGGTCGGGTCGGGTGGCGGCTCCCGTGGCCCGGGGCGCCTTCCCTGCGCCCCTAGGACTCGTCCGTTGGCTTGCTGGTTCTGTGGTCCGGGAGTCATCTGGATAGGGGTGACGGCGGCCCCAGTTCCAGGCCCACCGAGTGGAAAGGAAGGTCCGGAGGCGGAGCGCCCGGCACCGCGCCCGAGGCCACCAGAGCCCGTTAGCTGGGCCCGTTTCGCAAGCGAAGCCCCGAGGTTAAGTGACTTCCCCGCCTGTCAGTCTAGGTTTCTTATACCATTCTTCCTCCTGCCCCCCAAAGCTCATTAACTTCTTCACCTTTCCTATTCGCCTGATTTTCTTTGCTTGTTGTTAAACCTTTGTACTCAAAGCGTTTTCATCTCACACGCCTAGCGGTTGTATTTTCCCACAGGTTGAAACAAATGGATGTCTTTTTTCCTTTCCCCCGTGGAAACTTCTCTCTCAAAGTTGTCATCCTCCTGCTCCGGTCGGGACTGGAGCCCCACCTTGCAGCTGAGTAGCTGTCCTAGAACCTGCTGTCCGGGCTCCCCTGGGCTGGCTTGTTTTCATCTACTCCCCTTCCTTTCTTCCATCAGAGCTCATCAGGTAGCTTTTGAAGAAGTCGACTCATTTTTTTTTTTTTTTTTTTGCGGTACGCGGGCCTCTCACTGTTGTGGCCTCTCCCGTTGCGGAGCGGACGCGCAGGCTCAGCGGCCATGGCTCACAGGCCCAGCCGCTCCGCGGCATGTGGGATCTTCCCGGACCGGGGCACGAACCCGCGTCCCCTAGCATCGGCAGGCGGACTCTCAACCACTGCGCCACCAGGGAAGCCCTCGACTCATTTTTTTATATTGAGCTCTCGGTTAGCTGAAAACGGCTTCATTTACCCTCACAGGCAGAAGGGTGGGTGTAAAGTTCCAGATCAAAAGCCCCCGGTGGGAACTGTGAAAGCATCGCCCGTCTTAGGAGTTCCCTGCTGTCCTGAAGGGTCTCGTCCCGTTCTGGTTTCCGACCTCTTGTTTCTGATTTTCTTTCTGTCTAGTAGAAACTTTAGGTTTTCATTAGTGCTGTGAAATTTCATGGTCTCTTCGTTTGAGAGTGTTTTTTTTTGGTTTTGTCTGAAAATTAGCTTGTTTCAGTCCTGGGGTATTTTCTTTTATTTCATAGGTTATTCCTTTGATGATATTCTCCACGTTTGTTCTTTTTAATTGTTATTTTATGTGGGTCTGTAGTTGATTTACGACATCGTGTTAGTTTCAGGCGTACAGTAAAGTGATTTATACACATACATGTGTCCGCTCTTTTTCAGGTTCTTTTCGCATATAGGTCATTGCAGAGCATTGAGCACAGTTCCCTGTGTTATGCAGGAGGTCCGTATTGATTATCTTTTTTTTGAATAAAGTTATTTATTTTATTTATTTATTTTTGGCTGTGTCGGGTCTTTGTTGCTGCGCACGGGCTTTCTCTAGTTGTGGCGAGCAGGGGCTACTCTTCGTTGCGGTGTGCGGGCTTCTTGTCGTGGCAGCTTCTATTGTTGCAGAGCACGGGCTCTAGGTGCGCAGGCTTCAGTAGTTGTGGCTCACGGGCTCAGTAGTTGTGGCTTGCGGGCTGTAGAGCGCAGGCTCAGTAGTTATGGCGCACGGGCTTAGCTGCTCCGCAGCATGTGGGATATTCCTGGTCCAGGGCTCGAACCCGTGTCCCCTGCATTGGCAGGCGGATTCTTAACCACTGCGCCACCAGGGAAGCCCTGGTTATCTATTTTAAATATAGTAGTGTGTCCACGTTTCATCCTGTTTTCAGTTCGTGATTTCTAGGTTCTTGTTTTGCTTCTTATTATTTTGCTATTATTGTTATTGTTCATTTTCCTGTTCTTCATTATGAAAGCCTTCTTTGACTCTTACATTCAAGCGCTCGTATTCATTGTTTTGTCAGGTTCATCACGTATTTACTTTTAAAGGTTTATTTTTTTTTTAACTTTATTTGTTTATTTATTTGGGCTGCACCGGGTCTTAGTTGTGGCATGCGGACTCTTAGTTGCAGCATGGGGGATCTAGTTCCCCGACCAGGGATGGAACCCCAGCCCCCTGCATTGGGAGCGTGGAGTCTTACCCACTGGACCACCAGGGAAGTCTCAGGGTTCGTCTGGTTTTAATTCACCGCGCTCACCTTTGGCACCTGTTCTAGTTTCACGATGTGGTAACGTCTCCTGTCATCCGGGAGGACGTTAACATTTTCTATTGATATTTCCACCAGGTTTCTTTGTTCTCTGATACACATGTTTCTTTGCGTCTGTTTATGTTAAGTTACCAGTCTGCATGGAGAGTAGTGCTTCTCATCTAGCGAGCTCAGTGGGCCTGGCAGAGGGCTGGGGTTTGGGGAGTGTGGGGGCCCCCAACCGTCAGTGTCTGAGAATACTGTCTCTGGTGCTCTCTTCCCAGAAAAGACTCCTGATCTCCCCTGGGCTGGGAGCACCAGCTAGGTCTCCTGCCTGCTGGACACAGACCAGGGGAAGGGGTGTTGCCTGCTTAGCGGGTGGGTTTTTTGTTGTCTTTTTTTTTTTGGCTGCATCAGGTCTTCGTTGCTGTGTGGGCTTTCTCTAGTTGCGGCGAGCGGGGGCTACTCTTCGTTGTGGTGCGTGGGCTTCTCATTGCGGTGGCTTCTCCTGTTGTGGAGCAGGGGCTCTGGGTACGCGGGCTTCAGTAGTTGTGGCGCACGGGCTTAGTTGCTCCGCGGCATGTGGGAACTTCCCAGACCAGGGCTCGAACCCATGTCCCCTGCATTGGCGGGCGGATTCTTAACCACTGCGCCACCAGAGAAGCCCTAGCAGATGAGTTTTGATGGACCTCCCCCCTTTTCTCTCTGGCCTCATCTCAGTCTCTGATAGCTACTGGCACTCACTGTAACGTGGTGAGTGATTAAGTACTTGCTTGCGTTTGGGTTTCCTGAGCCAGTCGGATCCTCTCCACAGGTGCTCTCACGACACCTGTGGCGCGCACTCCCGGCTAGGACAAGAGCTTGTTCTGGCTGCTTGAGGAGAAACTGGGCTCCCCCCAAACTGACTGGAACTCTTGGCTCTGGTAGTGTTTTGCCTTTACCAGTTGGCGGCTCTGGGTGGACTTGGCGTGAAATAAAAAGTCTAGTCCTGGGATTCTGCAGCCTCACCATATGTGAGGTTTTTGTAAACTCATCAAGTCACACTGCCGGTCGATGGCACAGCTGGCTGGTGCCTGGACTGTTAGTTTCCTGTGGTCGGTGCAGCAAACCACCACCGACTTAGTGGCTTAAACGACCTAAGTTCATGATGCAGCTCTGGAGGTCAGGAGTTCATTGTGAGTCTCACTGAGCTTTATTTCTTCTGGAGCCTCCAGGGGAGCATCGGTTCCGCCTTTTCCAGCTTCTAGAGGCGCTGCATCCCTGGCTCGCGGCCCCTCCTCCATCCTCACAGCCAGCAGCGCAGCATCTCCCGTCTCTCTCTGCCTCTGACCCTCCCGCCTCCCTCTTATGAGGACCCTGTGATGACACTAGGCCCCTTGGGGAATCCAGGGTCCTCCCCTTCTCAGGGGCCTTAACTTAACCCCACCTGCAAAGTCTCCTCTGCCCCATGAGGTGACACGTCCAGGAACCCTTGAGATTGAGATGGGGTCATCTTTGGCAGGGGTCATAGTCACTCCTGGGCCCCATCCTTGTGAATTTACCCCAACAGAGACAAGATGCCAGGGGCCTGGGGCCAGCATTGACCAGTGGGAAAGGGAGTGTAAGATGAGAGAGGTTACTGGAGGTTGGGTCTGAGCTGAGCCTGAAGGAGGGTGGGAAACAGTGGCTGGGCTGGAAGAGACATCAAGGGCTCGGGAGAGCCTTCCTCAGCCGCGAACGAGCCGTGAACATCTTGTGCGTTAGGTAGTGGCGGGGGGATAGGTTGGTAGGTGTGTTCCTTGTTTCCAGCAAATGTACAGCTGAGCCAGAGAAGCAGAATTTAGGCTGAGAGAAGTAAGTGTAAGACAATCAGAAAGGGAATTCAGAGGAGGGAGTGAACAGCATGGGCTTGGGTGGTCTGGGGAGGCTTCTTGGAGGAGGTGAGACTAATTAGTGAGACCTTGGTCTCATTTTGCCCTTTGCCATTTCGGGTCCTTGGGCCTTTGCACAGGCTGGGGGGACTTCCTCAGTCCACCCACAAGGTCACCTGGAGATGCCCTGTTTTTCCTTCTTCCTCATTTCCATGTGCCTGGCCCATAGTGGACCCTCGGCCACTGGAAGAGACTTGGTAAAGCGTGGACATGAGGCTGAGAGCTGCGAGAGCAGGGTGGGGGATGAGGCTGAACCAGGAGGGCGAGGCCTCCTGCGCAGCCTCACAGCCGCCCCTTGGCCTCCACAGGTTTCCTTTCTGGTCTGGTAGAGCCCCAGGGTCCTCACCATGGACTTCCAGCATCGCCCCGGAGGCAAGACCGGGAGTGGGGGCGTGGCCTCCTCCTCTGAGAGCAACCGGGACCGTAGGGAGCGCCTCCGGCAGCTGGCCCTGGAAACCATCGACATCAACAAGGTACACGTGCCCTCCCACCGCCTGTGCCCACCCTGCACCAGGGAGCTTCACCTGGAGTGGCAGCTCTCAGTGTCCACCAGAGGCCGGCTGCTGTTTGTAGCCCCACGTTTGAAGGGTCTGTTACCACAGGAAGCTATACTTAGCCAGAGGTGTGGGGAGGCGCCAGTGGTGGGGGCCCTGATGGCACCACGGGCAGCGAAAGACAGCAGCTTATCCGTACAGAGCTGTAGGGAGACAGGCCTCCGCCTCGGCCCTGGGGATACGTATGTGGGTCCCCCTGGGCGCTGTGGGGTGTGCAGCAGCATCCCTGCCCTGCCCCCGTGCCAGATGCCAGGAGCTCCCCAGTCACAGTGGCCACAGATGTCCCTATATGTCGCTCAGTGTCCCTTGGGGGGCGGAATCACCTCCGGTGAGACCCCAGGGATAGGGATTCCACTGACCGCAGGAGACTGGGTTCCATGACCATCTGACCTCTGTGGTCCTGGGATGCTGTACACATTTCAGTCCACACCTGAGTGGGAGGAAGAGGAGGTGATACAGATGATGGGGGCCCACCTGGTTTACACCAGCTGAGCATCGGGGATTTATCCTGGTGTCCAGTGTGAGCAGGGAGCAGACCCAAGTTTTTCGCGAATAACTGACTAAGGGTTTCTCAGCTTGGAGGTGCGGCCGGGTCATTCCCTGGGGCGTGGGGGCCGTCACGGGCGCTGTTGGGTGTGGAGCAGCACCCTCACCTCCACACTTGATGCCAGGAGACCCCAACTCGTGACAACGACTGACGTCCCCAGACATTGCCCAGTGGACCCTGGAGGCAGAGTTGCCCTCGATGTGCCCCTTGGTGTTCAGTGTATAGGTCCTCTTAGACTTTGAAATGCCCTGAGGTGTGTCGAGCCCTCACCGTGTGCCTGATACTCCCAAAGCCCCTCAGAGGCCTGGCCTGGGAGGTCAGTTCTGTTACTCTTCCCATTTTCCAGATGAGGAAACAGAGTTGAGGGTGGGATTGTCATCGCCAATGACGACATGGTCTCTGGGCGGTGGAGTTGGGACCTGAACCCCTGCCGTCTGCTCTGCGCCTCTTGAGTGGTCACCAGTTGGCCCTGGAGCCCCTGCCCCACTCACGGGATGTGCAGAGACAGGGCCTCCTAGGGCCTCGGGTTGGCCCGCTTGCTTCTCTGCCCGCGTCCGGCTGTGCTGCGGCACGAGGAGTGCTGGCCTGATCGGCGCCATGGAGATGGATGAGCAGCGGTGCTGTTTCGGCTCTGCCTCCTGGACCCCAGACTGCCGAGGACGTGGGGCCAGGGCTCCCGGAGGACCCTTCCCCGGAGCTTGCTGCAGGGGCGCGTGGTCAGCCCCAGCCCCACCCAGTGGACTCTGCGGTGCTGCCTTGGGGGCTCCTGCTTGTCCTCTGCGCCCCCTCCCCCGCCGCGAGCGTTTGCCCTGAAGAGAGTGGTGTTCTCTCAGCACCCGCCAGGGGCAGCCGTGCTTCTGCGGGGTCCCCAGGGCCCCTCCCTCCCACTGCATAACAAGCGTGCTTCCCTCCGCAGGACCCGTACTTCATGAAGAACCATCTGGGCTCCTACGAGTGCAAGCTGTGCCTGACGCTGCACAACAATGAGGTGTGGCCCCGCCCCTGCCCCACCCCGCCCCACCTGTGCTGCTGTGGACTTGCCGAGTCCTTCAGTACCGGTGGCACCGTTGCCACAGATGTGTATCTGGGAACGTGGGGACACCCTGGGACGTTCCACGTCAGGATCGGGGTCGTGAAGTCTAGCCGGTGTGGCTCTAGTTTGCGCCTTTGAAGCAGGCGAGAGTCTGATGCTCCCTCACGCTGGGCCCCTCTCTTGGCACCAGTAGGTCCCTTTGTCCCTTTTCTCGTGTGGAGGACGTGCTTTGTTTCTGGTGGTTGCCAGCCCCGGACGGCAGCACTGAATTGAACAGCCTGATACGGGAGGGTCTCCCCGCGACATTGGGGCTGCTCATCCTCCGGGGAGGACCGTCCTAGGCGTGCTGTCCCCGGGGGTCAGAAACCGCCCCCACCACCGGCCCCCGTTGAGAACCACTGATTCGCGTGTCTCATCCCTGGGGCATCGTGGAGATGGAATCACATGATCACTCCCGGGTTTCCCCACCACTTCCAAGCAGTGTCCACAGCCCACACTGCACCCCAGCAGCTGCAAGACTGCCCGCGTTGCACCCTCCGGAGGCCCGCCTCACCCCCGGCTTTTGGGGGTCTCGTTCCCCTGTGTGCAGACCCACTAGCGCTCGGCTACTCAGCAGCGATCGGGTGCCTACGGCACCTCCCCACTCGCTTTGCCCTGAGCTGTGCGTCCCTCTCCCGTTCTAGGGGAGTTACCTCGCGCACACCCAAGGGAAAAAGCATCAGACCAACTTGTGAGTACCTCACGCCCCTTCCCATACCCGGCGCTCACCCCCACCAGAGCTGTCACCTCACTTGACCCCCGTCCCCCCTGACCTCGAAGCTCCAAGGTTGGCTGGGGCAGGGCAGGGGGGTGGCACTCCTGGCACCTGGGCCTATGGCCTTGGCGGCCTGTGTGGAAGGGCCTCAGCCCCATGTCCGTCCCACCTGCAGGGCCCGGCGAGCAGCCAAGGAGGCCAAGGAGGCCCCCGCCCAGCCGGCGCCAGAGAAGGTCAAGGTGGAGGTGAAGAAGTTCGTGAAGATCGGCCGCCCGGGCTACAAAGGTAAGGATGCTCTGTGGCCTTGGCAGCCCCACACCCATCCACACCCACACCCACACCCACACCATCCGCCTCTGGGGAGTGTCTCCACTTGCTTCCTGTCAGAGGGCTTTCTTCCCTGGGGGCCGGGACCCGCCTTCCCACCGTGAACTTTCACGCACATGCCGGAGGAGGGGCAGTGTCGTTATTCTTTACGCTCCTAGCAAAGGTGGGTGAGCTTGTGGGACGTGAGCGCGGGCCCTGGTGTGGCTCTCTCCTCTGACCACGGAACTGGGTGCTGGCTCTTCTTCACCTGAGGAGAAAGGAAGGGGAGGGGGAAGGTCTGCGCGTGCAGCAGCGCCTGTGTCGCCTGGTTCGGAAAGCCAGTCAGGCGGCCCAGCTGGAGCCCAGGGGTTAAAGGGGACCGTTTGCCGGGGGGGGGACGGCAGGCCACCTGGTAGGCGTCCTGCTAAGGTGGGGACATCCTGCGTGTGGCTGGCATTTCGGGGCGTGGCGTGCAAAGGCCCTGGGTGGGCCTGCTTGGTGAGCCAGGACAGGGATGGCACTGTTTCCCTGGGGAGGCCACCACAGGCTTTCTGGCCAGTCCAGGCCATCTGGCGTCTTCCTGGCTGTGGCGGGGAGAGACTGAGCACCCGTATGGAAAGCAGCCCAAAGCCACAGAGCTCTGGCAGTGGGCACCCTCTCCCAGAAGTGGGGGCACAGTCTTGACCCTCACACTCAATGCTCCCCAGGTGGGGGGGCGGGCAGTGGGGAGGCCTCTCTCCCACCCCCACCCCCACCCGTGTGATCTGGGGCAGATGGCACCCGGGGTGCAGCCCTCCCAGCCCTGGGTGGTGCCCATCCAGCTGCGGATGGCTCTTGTGCTTCCCCAGCCAGGTGACCACCCCCAGGCCTGCTCCCCCGTTTGTGGGTGGTGTTAGGCCAGCCCCAGGGCCCCTTAGCTGGTCCTGACACCTCCTGTGTTGCAGTGACCAAGCAGAGGGACACGGAGATGGGTCAGCAGAGCCTCCTATTCCAGGTGAGCAAAGGCTGGGGACCCAGTTCTGAGGGGAGGGGCTCCCTGAGAGGCGGTGCTGCCACCCGGCCGTGTCCCCACAGATCGACTACCCCGAGATTGCCGAGGGCATCATGCCCCGCCACCGCTTCATGTCCGCCTACGAGCAGAGGATCGAGCCTCCGGACCGACGCTGGCAGTACCTGCTCATGGCCGCCGAGCCCTACGAGACCATCGCCTTCAAGGTAGCGCACTGGACCCCCGAGAGGTGGGGAGCCAGCCGAGGAGTTTGCTCCATGTGGGCAGCTGGCCTCTAGCCCACTCCAGGATGCCCCTTCCTGCCAGGGCCAGGGGTATCCCTCTGGGCCCTTGCCTCTTGAGAGGGTGGCAAAGGACAAGGCAGCGCGAGGGCTGGGGGCTGGGCGTCCGAGGTGGGTGTCTGCCTAGAAGCAGAGACCCCTGACATGGCCCCAGCAGTAAGGTGTCCCTGCTGCTGGCTGTTCGTGGATTCCATGACCGGATCTGGTCCCCAGATGAACGTTAATGGCATAGCGTAGATCACAGCTTTCTCAGGGTTGCAGGTTTGCTGAGCGGTGGAGCAAGGACATCAGTCGACTCTGTTACCCCCAAGCTAGACCCTGTTCCCTCACAGAAGGGCCTCCTCAGCCGGGCCATCTCGTGGTCCTGAAGGCCCGTCTCTGCCCCCTGCTCCACCCCACGCAGGTGCCAAGCAGGGAGATTGACAAGGCTGAAGGCAAGTTTTGGACTCACTGGAACCGGGAAACTAAGCAGGTGAGTCACTGCAGGTCCAGGCAGTTGCCGAACCTTCTCCCAGCCCAAGGCCCAGGGGCCGCGCTCAGCCTCTCCTTTCTGTCCAGTTTTTCCTCCAGTTCCACTTTAAGATGGAGAAGCCACCGGCCCCGCCGAGCCTCCCCGCAGGGCCTCCTGGGGTGAAGCGGCCCCCACCCCCGCTGATGAATGGTTTGCCCCCTCGGCCACCACTGCCCGAGTCATTGCCCCCGCCCCCGCCAGGAGGCCTGCCCCTGCCCCCCATGCCGCCCAGTGGGCCTGCGTCCTCGGGGCCCCCGGGCCCTCCTCAGCTGCCCCCACCAGCTCCCGGTGTCCACCCCCCAGCACCAGTGGTCCACCCCCCGGCGTCTGGAGTGCACCCCCCAGCTCCTGGGGTCCACCCACCGGCACCAGTGGTCCACCCACCAGCATCTGGGGTCCACCCCCCTGCTCCGGGGGTGCATCCCCCAGCCCCGGGGGTCCACCCTCCAGCACCAGGGGTCCACCCTCCAGCCCCCGGGGTCCATCCTCCCCCATCTGCTGGGGTTCACCCCCAGGCCCCAGGGGTGCACCCACCAGCTCCTGCAGTTCACCCCCAGGCCCCGGGGGTCCATCCACCAGCTCCCGGGGTCCACCCCCCAGCCCCAGGGATCCACCCCCAGCCTCCTGGGGTCCACCCCCCACCTCCTGGGGTCCACCCATCAGCTCCTGGGGTCCATCCTCCAGCTCCTGGGGTCCATCCCCAGCCTCCTGGAGTTCACCCCTCAAATCCCGGGGTGCATCCCCCAACTCCCATGCCTCCGATGCTGAGGCCCCCGCTGCCCTCCGAAGGCCCTGGGAACATTCCTCCGCCTCCCCCCACCAACTGAAAAGCTACCCCTGTCCCAGCAAGTCTGGCCTTGTTTTCGTGTGTTCCGCCCCCCACAGTGAAGTTGTTTTTTGTACAGGGCTGGGCCGTGTTCCCAGAGCCCATTAAAGAGTCTCTGCTAACCTTGGAGTGCACTGCTGTGTGGGCTGGCTGGTGGGTGGGTGGGCCGGCCGGCAGGCGAGTGGGCGGGAAGCACCCACTCGCTGTGGGTGAACACGCACGGCTGCCCTCTGCCACCTATGGGGGTGGCTCAGGGTCGGGGCCCCACCAGGACCCCAGGGGGTGGCTGCTGGCAATGCTGTGCCCTGGAGGCTGCTGGGTGAGGACAGACCCTGCTGGCCAGCAGTGGGTCTGGGGTCGCCCTCTGGGAGGAGAGCAGAGCAAAGGCTGCTCGCTCTCCTTGGGGGTCTCTGTGGGCCCCGAAGGCGTGGTGAGCGAGCGTGCAGTGGGTGTGGGGGGTCGCCCCCCACCTACCCAGTGGTCCTGTGGGGCAGGGGCTCTGCACCTCTGCCCTCCTCCAGCACCCTCTACCCCCCCCCCAAATTGTTGATCGTTTGGGCCATTCACTGCCTGCTCACATTCCTGCTCCTGGCTGTAAAGGGGAAAACTCGCCAAGGACATTTTGACAAATGGGTCACAGGCCACACTTTGTAGCACTGGTGAGAAGAAGATAGATAGGCAGCTGGGCCGGAACAGAAGGGGCTTTCAGGAGGCTGCCGGCCTGCCTGGGCTCACAGCAGGCACTGGCCCCCAAGGTCACATCCCTGAAGGAGATAGGGGCCGCCTTCTGGCACAAACATTCTTGCTCCCCCATATAAGCTGGGGCAGCCCGGCCCCTCCAAGCTCCCACGATGCAGGGTCCACCTCTTTCTCAGCTGGCCCTGGTGCTGTTGGCAATGGGGGCCCTGCTGGGGGCCAGGACCCTCAGGGGAGAGGTCCCCAGCACCCCGGCCCTGCCCAGGGAGCCAACCCCAGGCGGCGGAGGCGGCGGGCTCATCTTGCACCAAGACTGGGACTGGCCACCCCCTGGCGTCTGGCCACCAGGCAGCCCTCGGGACCCCCTGTGCCTGGTGACCCTGGATGGGGGTGGCAACAGGAGCAGTGCTCCCCTGCGGGTGGTGGGGGCCCTGAGCAGCTACGAGCGGGCGTTCCTAGAGGCCGTGAGGCATGCCCACTGGGGGCCCCGGGACCTGGCCACCTTTGCAGTCTGCTCCCCGAGAGACAGGCAGCCCGCCCTGCCCCATCTCCAGCAGCTGCAGGCATGGCTTGGGGGGCCCGGGGGGCGGCGGCTGGTGGTCCTACATTTGGAGGAAGGTACGTGGGGCCCTAACCCGGGGGCCTGGGCGGGGGGCCGGCTCTGGTGCCCCGGGGTGGGAGAACCCTCGGGAAGTGGAGGCTGATGGCCACAGAGGTGGGTGATCTTATCTTTGCCCTGCCTGGGGCAGCAAGTCCTCCTGCAGTGCCTGGGGAGGGTCCCCTCTCCGCGGACCTGGGAGCCACAGGGGGCAGGGCCAGCACAGCCTGAAGGTCCAGCCGAGGAGGGCCCCTCCCCCCACTCCCCGACCAGGCTGCCCAGGGGGCCTGTCCCCAGGGACCGCTGGCCTCAGACACACTACAAGGAAGGGCTTTACCCCAGGACATCCCCAGACCAAGAGACCCCAAGGGCTCCACCCCACTGCCCACAGTGTCTGTCACTTCTCCCAGGCCACCCGTGTCCCAAGGAAGCCCTACACCTGGGGTCCAGGGGCGTCAAGCCTCTCCCACTAGGTTCCGCGGGGCTCTGGGTGGGGTGGGAGCTCTCCCTCCTGCAGGACTGGGACAGGCTTGGGGGAGGGGCTCAGGCGTCCCCTTCCCCACTGTCCTGGCCGCAGTGACGTGGGAGCCGACACCCTCGCTGAGGTTCCAGGAGCCTCCACCTGGAGGAGCCAGCCCCGAAGAGCTGGCGCTGATGGTGCTGTACCCAGGGCCTGGCCCGGAGGTCACCGTCACCGGGGCCGGGCTGCCCGGCACCCAGGTACCAGGGAGTTGAAGGGGACCTGCCCCTGGGCCACCAGGAGCCCTCACTCAGGGCGAGGAAGGGGTTACGGTTTTGTTGATTTTTTTAACTGGGTTTAACAAAAAGGCTGCAAGTGCCCAGGTTGGAATTTTGAAGGGATGCTAAGGGCAGCAGGCAGAGCAGGGCTGGCGCCCCGCGCGCCCACTGCCTGGCTGAGCCCCCATTTCCGCAGAGCCTCTGCCTGAGCCGGGACTCCAGCTACCTGCCCTTGGTTGTGGGACGCCCCGAGGCGGCCTGGCGCGGGCCTGGGCTCGCCCTGACCCTGCGGCGCCGCGGAAACGGTAGGTCTCGCCCAGACAGGGACAGGGATGCTGCGGAGCGTGGTGGGGACGGCTGTCTTCGACCCCCAGACTCCCGGCGCTGAAGCAGCGCCGCGTACGCGCCTCCCCTCGCAGGTGCGCCTCTGAGCACCGCCCAGCTGCAGGCGCTGCTGTTCGGCGCCGACTCCCGCTGCTTCACACGGATGACCCCGGCGCTGCTCCTGCTGCCGCCGCCGCGGGCTCCCACGCCGATGCCCGCGCAGGGCCAGCTGGACTCGGTGCCCTTCCCGCAGACCAGGTGCGCGCGGGCCCGGGCCTGGGGGCGCGGGGAGTTGGGGGCGGCGCAGCCTTGCGCCCTCATGATCCCCCACTCTGCCGTCCAGGCCGTCCCCAGAGCCCGAGGAGGTGCCGCCCAGCGCCGATCCCTTCCTGGAGACGCTCACGCGCCTGGTGCGCGCGCTGCGGGGACCCGCGTCCCGAGCCTCGCCGCCGCGTCTGGCCCTGGACCCGGGCTCGCTGGCCGGTTTCCCGCAGGGCCAGGTCAACCTGTCGGACCCCGCGGCGCTGGAGCGCCTGCTCGACGGCGAGGAGCCGCTGTTGCTGCTGCTGCCGCCCACGGCAGCCACCCCCGGGGTCCCCGCGCCACTGCAGGGTCCGGCGTCCGCGCTGTGGGCCGCGGGCCTAGCGCGCAGGGTAGCCGCCGAGCTTCAGGCGGCGGCCGCGGAACTGCGCGGCCTCCCGGGGCTGCCGCCCGCCGCCACCCCGCTGCTGGCACGCCTACTGGCGCTGTGCCCGGGGAACCCGGTCGGCCCCGGCGGTCCGCTGCGCGCGCTGCTGCTGCTGAAAGCGCTGCAGGGCCTGCGCGCCGAGTGGCGCGGGCGGGAGCGGAGCGGGTCGGCACGGGCGCAGCGCAGCGCCGGCGCCGCGGCCACCGACGGGCCGTGCGGGCTGCGCGAGCTGAGCGTGGACCTCCGCGCCGAGCGCTCGGTGCTCATCCCCGAGACGTACCAGGCCAACAACTGCCAGGGCGCGTGCGGCTGGCCGCAATCGGACCGCAACCCGCGGTACGGCAACCACGTGGTGCTCCTGCTGAAGATGCAGGCCCGCGGCGCCGCCCTGGCGCGCCCGCCCTGCTGCGTGCCCACGGCCTACGCCGGCAAGCTCCTCATCAGCCTGTCCGAGGAGCGCATCAGCGCGCACCACGTGCCCAACATGGTGGCCACCGAGTGCGGCTGCCGGTGACCCCGCGCCGTGCTCCGGCCGGCCCATATTTATTCGGACCCCTTCATCGCTCCCAATAAAGACCAGAAAGCACGCGGTTGTGGTGTCCGTGCATGTCTGGGGACAGGCGGAGGCCTCCTTCCCCCATTTCTCCTCTGGCGGGCAGGGCCGCGTCCTCCCCGTTGGCACCCACTGCCTCCCTGCCCCCGCCCCCGCCCCCCCCAGCCGCCTAAAGCTCCCCATCCCTGTCACTCAGGCCCCAGGCAGGTTCTGGAGTCCAGGCACAAAGGAGCAGGCGATGAGGGGGACCACAGCGCTCGCTTTATTTGCTGGAACTGCGGGGCGGTCGAGCAGAGGTTCAGGGACCCCCGCGCAGGACCCAGGTCTGGCTCAGTCCCGCCCCTTGCCCGCGTGGTGCTTCTGGCGGCCGGGAGGCCGGTCCTCCTCATCGGGGCGCCGCGGGGAGGCCCAGGCCTGCCTCTTCCTATGCTCGGGGTCTCTGGACTCTCCCGCCCATGCCCGATGGCCCCCTTCGCGCGCCTCCCAGCGTCGGGGTAGGGCCTCCCCGGCAGCCCGCGGCCTCTCCTCTTTCCGGGATCTCTCCCTCCTCGGCCTCTCTTCCTTCTGTGGTCTCTCCTTCCGGGGCCTCTCCTTTCTCAGCCTCTCCGCCTTCTTCCGCCTCTCTTTGGGCCCTCGGTCGGCAAGCGGCACACGCTCCTCCTCAGCGGCCTCCTCAGACTCCCCTTTGTCCTTCCCTGCAGCCCCGCTGCTCCTGGGAACCGCGGTCCTTTCCTCTACCTTCGCCGGGGGCTCGAGCGATCCCAGTGGGGGGGTCCAGGCCACAGACTTTGGCTGCAATGTGGACAGTGTGGGGTGGTGGGGTCGGCACAGAGTTCCACGGCCCAGGCCCCTTCCCCCAGTGAAGGCCCCACTGACAGGTCACTTGAGGAACTGCTTACCAGGGGTGACGCTGGCTCCTTCAGGGACGAGCTTGGCGGGACCCACGGCTCCGGGACCCACGGCTCAGGGACAGGAGCAGGGGCTTCCGCCTCCCCCGCCACGGCCTCTGGGAGGGGACGGGAGGGGATGCGAAACAGCCTGGCCCAGGGGACCGACCACTGCACACCGTCCATCCCCGCCCTTGCCCCCAGAGACCCCTCTCCCTGGGGACATGCAAGGGGGCCCAGCCGGACCCCACCGGGTACGCTGAGGCTGGGCTGGGTCCCTCCGAGCCCTGGGAAGGGGTTCCGAGTCTCCGCTGCTGCGATGACCTTCCCTTCAAACCTCCCTCGTTCAGGCTGCAAAAGGATGCTCCCGTTTCTCTGAGGGACGCAGGAGCGCCCGCCCTGGCGCACAGAGAAAGCAGCACGCTACCGAACGGGGGCGCACTCGCCCATCCCGGGCCTACAAGGCCCGGGGTGGGAGTCGGGGGGCGATGAGGGTCGGTCACCGGGAAAGGGAGGTGCACCGAGGTCCTTGCTGGGGGGTGGGGGGGCAGGGCTCCTCTTAAGGTCTATGGGAGGCGGGGGTCAAAGCTGGTGCTGGATAGAGGGACTCGGGCGCGACCGTCGGGGTGCACAAGGTCAGTCTGTCCCTGAGCAGGAGGTGCACGGGGCGGGGGAACCCCCCCTCACTCACAAGGTCCATACTGGGGGGAAGGGGGCGCGCACGGCCTAGAGTGGGAGCGCACAGACCCGCCCCCTGGGCTGTCCGCGCTTCCGGGAGGGAGTAACCACGTGCTGCGGCGCAGGCTCACCTCGGCACAGCTGGAAGGCGGAGCCCAGCAGCGCCACGAGCGAGGCGAGCACCAGGCACTTGTTGAGCGTCAGGTGTCCCCAGAGCAGCTCCTCGCTCAGGACCGGGGGCGTGGGCGGCGGCTGCGAGGGCGGCGCGGCCTGCGCCTTCTTCTGCGCGGGGCTCCGGGGGCCTGCGGGAGCAAGTGCGGGCTGGGCGCAGGCCGCGTGGGGCCGACCCGCGGCTAAACTCAGCTCTGCCCTGCCCAGCTGTGCGGCCCTGGGCCGAGGAACTAAGCCCTGCGGGATTGGCCGCTTCACTGGGATGCCGAGAATATTCTAGAAGATAATTAGCTGAAGCTTAGTGGCACCTAAGCTGGTGTTATCATGAATTAGCAGAGGCTCCCACAGCCCACTGAGTTACGGCCTGTGACACCCAGACACCCCCCAGTCAGGAGCCCCATGCACGCTATCACCCTGCCCCCCAGATCCAAGGACCCAGCCCAGGACCGATCCCCCACCCCCATGCTGGTCCACACCCACCCCCCCACGTCACCCCTGCCTCCCGGAAACCCACTTGCTCCTGCTTTCAGCCTCTCCTTACCCGGTCCGGAGGCCACTTTGTCCATAGGCTCCTTTTCTGTTTTCTTGGGCCAAGCATCCACACCGCCTGCGGGGCTGCCCTCAGCTGCCGGCTCCTGAGAATCCTGTGGGGAGTAACATGTCATCCTGGGTGTTTCCCTAAGGGAGACCAAACCCTTCCAATGGGCTGCAGAAACGCACCCTCTTGGCCAACATGTCCCCTACTCTAGGGGCACCCTGGGCTGAAACCCCAGGGCCCCGGCTACTCACACGGGGCCAGCTGCTGGAGTCGGCCAGCCTGGATGTCGCTGTTGGCAGGAAAAGAGGGACAGTCACAGTCGTGGAAACCCCCAGGCTGATCCCACCCTCCGCTCAGTTCTGCTGGGTGAGGGGCAGGTGACTGCTCCCGTTCTGCAGATTAGAAAGCAGACAGACGCAGAGGCAGCCTTGCATGAAGGCACACAGCACGTCACTGCCAAGCTGGGATTCAAACCCTGACCTGTGTGGCCCAGCACCTGTGTTCTCTGGGCTCTTTACAAACCCCCGACACACTAATGGACACAGGTTGGAAATGGGGGGCATGGTTTAAGTCAGTCCAGTGTGGGAGGCCAAGTCCTGGTCCCTGAAGGTGAGCCACCTGGCTCAACAGGAGGATGGGGGCGTGGGCTTCATCCTGTGGTACCCTCTTGGCTACCTTGAGCCCTGTCCTCCCGGGGCCGACCTGGGCAGGGGTCAGCCAGTGCAGAGAGGTCCTCGTCTACTTGGCAACTGCCCAGGCCTCCATCCAACTCCTCCAAGGCCCTGGTTGTCATGGAGACGTCTGAGAAGCAGCAGGTCCAGAGTCTGGCTTGGGGGGGAGGGGGAAGAGGCAGCCTGCATTTGCTGAGCCCCTGGTATGGGCCTGGGCCTGGGCCTGACCTGGGGAGAAGGGGGCTCCCTACCTCCCCACACCGCCTTCCTTGTCCCTCTGCCTGGAGCCACCTTTCCTAGGTAGCTTCACACGCAGGGCACGACCACAGCCCTCCGCCAGGCACTCTCCCTGCCCCCCTCAGGCCTGCCTCAGGACCCCTCCTGACAGGCTGCTGGGCTGCTGGGGCCCAGAGTGGGCTGGGTTCTGGCCATGGTCGCACAGAGGTGAGCAAAGAGCCCAAACTGGAACCCTTGGCTCCAGGGTCGGCTCATGTTCTCAGAGACCAGCGACTATTTTTATCCAGTGCCTGAGGCCAGCAGGACAGGCCAGTGTGGGGCCCAGCCCCTCCTAGGCCCTTGCCCTCCTGGGGTCTCCCTTTGGACCATCCTCACCCCCTATTCCTGGCACCCAGCCTCCCCCCAGACACCCTGGGTGTAGGAGCTCAAGCCCCAGCAGCCGGGACCAGCCTGGTTCTGGCCTTGGCAGGCAGGGGCAGGGGTCCCGGGCCTCCAGACCCCAACGCTGGGGTCGCCGCCTCCTCTGGCCGTCTCTGCTCCCATAGGGCAGATGAAGAAACTGAGGCTGGAGGTGGAGCCGTGGGCCAGAGGTTGTGCAGAGCTGGAGCCAAACCTGTCTGTTGGCTTCCACAGCCCTGCTCTTTGGGGTCCCCAGGGTCTCTGGTGCCAGCGTTAGTGTGACCCATCCCTGGGGCCAGAGCAGGCCGTGGGGAAGGGGCCCAGTGGGCCAGGAGGTGCCCCTAAGGGTGTGTGTGGGCAGCCACAGGAGTCGGGGACCCCCATGGACCTCAGGGATGCCCTCCCAGATCCCAGGGACCCCCATCTCTGCCCAGGCCTCCCTCTGCCCCTCTTACCCCACTGTTGCCACGCTGGGCCTGGTGGACAGGATGGAGCATGGGGAGGGTGGCCCCAAGACAGACAACAGCAGGTGGCTGGAGGCCGCGAGGTGGGCCAATCAGCTCCTCAGCCGCCGCGGGGGTGGAAGGAGGGCTGGCCTGAGGTCCCTGCTGGGGCACATCCCCACCTCGGAGCAGGGCCAGGCACTGGCCCCACCCCCATGAGCACAAAGCCACCACCAGGCTGGCCGCGGTGACTCTGGGAGCATTGCTTCCTCTCTCAGCCTCAGAAAAGAGGGTCCCTGGGGGTGGGAGCACCCACAAAGCGTGGTCACCTTGCCTTTATGAGCACCTGCTGCGTGCCTGGCTCAGAAGCAGCTAAACATCCACGTCCCTGTGGAGCCGGGGTCTATCAGGGAGGGCTTCAGGGAGGAGGATGACACCATCGAAAAGAAGCCAGGCTCTGCTGGCTGACGCGGGTCAGGCACAGCTCAGAGGCCTTGGTTTCCTCATCTGGAAAGTGGGGTCGTTTCCTCTCAGAGGGGCAGTGAGGCTCAACTGTGGGCTGTTTTTTTTTTTCTTTTCATTGAAGTATAGTTGATTTACAATGTTGTGTTAGTTTCTGCTGTGCAGCAAAGTGACTCAGTTATACGTATATATATTTTTTCATGTTCTTTTCCATTGTGGTTTATCACAGAATATTGAATATAGTTCCCTGTGCTTTATAGTAGGACCTTGTTGTTTATCCATCCTATATATAATAGTTTGCATCTGCTAATCCCAAACTCCCAATCCATCCCTCTCCCACCCCCCTTTTCCCTTTGGCAACCACAGGTCTGTTCTCTATGTCTGTGAATCTGTTTTTGTTTCGTAGATAAGTTCACTTGTGTCATATTTTAGATTCCATGTTTAAGTGATATCATATATTTGTCTTTCTCTGACTTACTTCACTTAGTATGATAATCTCTAGTTGTATCTATGTTGCTGCAAATGGCATTATTTCATTCTTTTTTTATG